CACAAATACATACTCACCAAAGAAAACCAACCACTCTGCGAACGGTGCAAGACGACCTTAACAATAGACCACCTCATATTACAATGGGAAGTATACCTACTGCTAAGAAAACAACTAAAAGACAACCTAATGGACAGTGGAACATCAAGCCTCCTACAATATCTGAAACACCAAGATCTATAACATATAAAAAATTCCTTCTTCTGTTGTCGCTAATAATCTATGAAGTTGATGCGACATAAAATAATTGATTTAAAAATAATAATAATAATAAATAAATATAAATATATATATGAAAAGAAACTAAAAAATATAAAGCTCAACGAATAATAACAGACTAAAATAAAATATTGATAGAAATATTCTTAGGCAATTCATTCATCAAGGCATATTTTTGAAAATACAAAAGTAATAAAAGTTCAAAATTGTTACTTTGATTCTGAAATCTGTCTATGTCTATAAAGCGTCTTCTTAAGGATAAACTTGAATTTAAACATATTTCTAATTTCATGTCTTATATTCTGTTGAAATTACATTGAATATAAAAATGAAATGATAAAATAGTTCTATGTGCAAATTATAAATATATGTATCAGCATTTACATTATAATAATTTCAGTGCTAATTACAATTGCTGATCACAGCTAAGTGCGTAAGATTCCGTATATTCTCCTGAATCTAGTGGTCATTCACTCTGATCGCCAGTGACTGGTCTATAATATGTAAGTATTCATACCAAGTATTCCTGCAGTTTTTCGCGTCTTCGAGCATTCCTTATAATGACCTCTAAAATAAAAGGAAAAGCGCACATCAGTCTCATTAACTACTTTAAATTCAATTCTTAATTAATTCAAAAATAAGCAGCGTGCTTGGCAATTTCTTCCCCTAGGTGACAGCAAATTTATGCGCTCCCAGAACGCATAGCCAACTCGCCCAATTCGGCGATAGAATTGTCAGTATTCTCTCGGGTAAGTCTGCACCCGATTTCAAAGGAGGTTATGCCCGTATCCGGTGTCAGAGTTCCGCGATATGTATAGATACCGGTCTTCCTAAGCTGTTGCGTTCCTTCGCCGAACACGAGTGCTACAGATACACGCTACTGACGTTCCTTGGCGTTCGACGCCACTTCTGTCCTCGACAAGAACCACTCAAATGCAAACTTCCTTCTGCCGTGATAACCAACTAGTTGTCGTGCCGACGAGCTTCTCTCGCCACCTCCACGACGACACAAGCACTGTCCTGTCAGACTAGCTTCTGCTCATAACTTCAACATCTACATCCTACATTGTGCTGTGACGAATTGTTGCCATCATCAATACAACGGCTGAATAACATCATAACCCTCGTCGCGCGTTGCACACGTTGAAGTCAAAACCTATTTCAAGAATGACGAGTCATTCTGCTATCATTCTTACCAGAACTCTATCTCGCGTCTATATCATGCTGCAACTCCGTCGTCGACACAATAGCTACCACTTCTCAACAACGTGATTATTCTCATCGTTGTTGTAGTCCAAAGTCATTCTCCAGAATAAGTGAAGCGTGTCGTATATCCATTCAGCCACAGATGCGTGGTCAACGATAGTGCTAACCATTCTCTAACTATTCTGCCGTCTCTTTTACATCTGTAAGATTCCAAATTCCTGTAAAATGAATTCGATTTTTACAGTGTTAGTCAGAGTGTGTCTGTCTGTCTGTCTCCTCTAGACTGCTATTCATAGCTTCAGGCTATCGATCATGATGATTGTCTTCATTCGATGATCTCTTTCGACTTTATATCAATCATTACACAAAATTGCAATAATTCGGAGCTGTCTTTTAAATCGCAAGTCAAGCTTCTTACTATTCATTGGCTGATCAATGATGATTGCAATCATGATGACGCAACGTCTCCTTCTTAGAATTTCTTCATCGTTCATCTATATCGATCACATCGTTTCTTCTGCTTTCTTTGATCTTCTGTGACATGGTTCAAAATCTTTTCGCAGAGTTCACACAAATCCATGTGCTCAATCTCGCTCTGCATCTCCTGCAAAATCCACCTCTCTATTAAACATCGTGTCTTGCGCCCAATCAAGGTTTTTCAACGTTAATTCAAGGTTAATCAACGTCGTTCTGATATTCTTATTACGCGTTGTATTAAAAACGCTCTACACCCATTTCATCTCATCATTCCATTATTCATTTATGACGCCCAGGACGCGACAATTGTGCAATTGTATCATTCGTATTGTCCATTAGCTCGAAAGATGGATACGGCATTAATTACATAGCGAATTCCTTATACATATTCTGTAAAATGCTTGAAACTGCGAAGACTGTTTCCCTGTTGTTGATAATGCGGTAGTAATACGCCAAGCAGGTATATTAAATCTATAAGCGATTTTTATTGGTTCGATTACCGTGAATTTCGCGAGGACATCTACGATGACAACTAGATAAGAGTTTCCTTTTCTACTTCTTTCAAATGATTCAATATGATCAATATGGAAGACAGCATTTTCTCGATGTGGTAATTCCTCATTAACGCACTTGTAATACGTGCAATTCAGGTACGCGTACTTCTTCACGAACGTATTTTTCGTCATCGTGGCACAATCTGCAAATCTGAAAAAGCGTCGCATGCAGAACCACCTACGTCATGACGCCTCTAGACGCCTGCAAACCTTTCTTTTCTTCGAATGTGTTCTTCCTCTTTGCACAAGGCAAGTGTTTTGCGGCTTAGTGAACAATGCGATCGTCCCATTTGCAGTTGAAATAGACCGTCTTCTTCTCTTGGAACAGTAACTTCTCCTTCAATCGAGTTTTCACGCCCGATCACGACAATCCCAGAATTGCAACTATGGACGTATGATAAGATGCGCCGACACAGATCTTCCCGCCAAGATTATCGATGGCATTGACCCCATCTCTCTTAGTGCAGCGTACGTTAACACCGTCATATTAGTTCAAACAAATTGTCCGTTTCGATCACTTTATCACCGATACAATATTCCTCCATCAATAACAACATTTTTAAAATACTCGTTTGGGACATCAAGCTTCAAGGCACGCATTTTGGCCAGCTTGGCAAAGCAAAAGTTGCCAAATTTCTGGTCTGGCTGTATGCGGCCATCTCGCAAATACGAGATGAGCAAATACGCAAAAACAACTAGCATAGGCCTTTTAAATTGATCAATCAATGCTTTTCTTCACGTTCAAAATTTTCATGCTCAAAAAGCTGCACGCGATGTTGCACGATTTCTTCGCTTAACTAGCGCACTCACATGTCTGTACTGCCCTGTACGGGATAGAACTGTGGTACTAAATGTTCTGCAATGTTCAACAATCAGCTTACACCCATGTAAAATCGCAGATGATATTATTCGGTATACAGTGAAAATGATTGAACTTGGATACTATTTTTGAAGACTATATATATTTCCTTATAACGGTAGACAATTATGACGATTTGGCATAATGATTTCTTCTATCTATACATACTGCAAGACATCGACATCCTCATTTGTTTTGAAGAAAGATCAGCCAAAGGGGAAAAAGGAAGTTAGCGTTAGCACCTATTCTCGTCGCATGGCTCGTTAAATATTTTAGTGGAAGAAGAGTACAGAGTCCTTTCTTTGTTTACTCTTCTATTTCATAATGTGTATGTTAAGCTCAAAGCAGTCAGAATGCGAAATTTCGTACTGTGGCTATTCTTTTAAAACTCGTTACATACTATCAAGTCGCTGTTGACTTGGTCGAGAAACAATTAAACTTGGTAACTATTATAATTATAAAATTACTTTCTAAACACAGAAATTGTATTGAGCGCATTCCTCATTACAAGAACGCTGCTAGAATTTTATATAATTTTTTTTTTTCATTCAACAAAAATTTTTATGATTCTAAAATCATCAATAACTAGCACAGATGCAAGTATAAGACTTTACAGCTCTCCTGAAGAAAAACTATTTCTTATTTATATAACATTACATTAAATAATATTATATAATAAAAAATAATTATTATTATAATATTATAATAAATAATATAAAAAATAATAGGTATAATAATATTATATATAATAAAAAATAATAATTATAATAAATACAAATAAAAATAATTAAATAAAAGTAATTAATTCTGAATAATCAGATTTTTTGGATGACTCGGAAATGACCGAGCCTAACTAAATAAATTGAAATTATAAACTTAAGTGCTAAATAAACTGAAATGTACTATATTACATACTGTATTACCTTAAAATTGGCCGTCACCGCGAAAAAATGCATAAGCATCTATATATCAACAAAACGTTTTAAAATTATACACGATATATTGAAATAATATGTATAAGCAGGCACAGGATAATTTCTCATAGAAAAAAATATAGTATAAAATTTTGAGACTTTATTTTCGAAAAAGTTGAGTTTGAAAATTTGATGCATTCATATGGAATTGCAGTTAAAATAAGATTATTATTATATCACTCTGGTACAACACAATACAAAAAAACACATTACAATATAAAATTACATATTTCATCATTTTATTAATGTTGTAATCTTTACCTAATTACAATCACTGCATACGTATTTCAGAAATATATATATGTCTAACGGTCTAACAAAATAAAAAAATAAAAAACTCCTTTTGGTAATATTTTCATCTATTTAATATATATATATATGTATAAGACAATTAATTTAACAGAGTGTATTTTTATTTTTTAAACCTACATCAAATAAATATGTTGTAATAAAATAAATCTTAATAGTAAATTTCACAAATTTAATTAATTTAATATATTTAATTTGTATACGTAATATAATAAAATAACGTTTTCTTATATCTAAATGATTTTATTTCTCAAAATAATCTTCTTTACGTTCGATAAAAATTTTTGTATCACAAAGATTGCTCAAAATCATTATTCTAATTAACTATCTTACAATATATAAGAATGAATGATTTATAATTTCATCGATGTCCTTATTTCCGTATTTACAGACAAAAGTGCTGTCACCTATCGGCATTTCCTTAAAATCCGTTTACACATACAAAGCGAATAGAAATCATTTAGAGAACGGTGAAACGAAATTTTTGAAATAAATTTTTGTAATTTAAAAATAATTAAAATAAACAAATGGCGTTTTACGATAATGAACATTGGCTCTTATCACACATCAGGGATAGTTTTTTATCAACCGACAACACAGGTACAAATCAAATTTTATTTAGGTTAAATTTTAGATTGTACAAAGAATGTACAAATCAAACTTATTTCTGTAATATTTCCCAAAGGTCAATGCGAAATGGTAATGCTTGGGGAAGATATTCCTAAACAACTAAAATCTAATGGTATGTTACAATGTTATCCTGGCATGGAAGAAAGCGATGATGAAGATCTGGATGCTCTTGCAGAATCTTATGATATACAAATGGGTAAATTTAACAAAATAATATAAAAGTTTTTTCTATAAATAATAATATTTATGACTAGAAGAATTATATAAAAATCAATTGGAATAAATATATATGCTTTAGATCTGTGATTTTAATATTGATATAGATATGGAATACAGTCATAGGGAACGTACTAACACTGCTCAAAGATTAGAGAAAATGGATCTTGAAAGAGAAAAGGCTGCTAAAGTCAGTGTAAAGTGGAAAAATGATTCTGTTGTACCTGTTACTCAACAATCAGAATTATTTCAAAGAAAGGATTTTCGTAAAAAGACTGGCCAAGTTAAAAAATATTCTCTTCTGTCTGAACAACTTGAAAAATGCCCAAATGTTCCACAAAATCCATTTATAGAATATGCTAAATATGATGGCAGTGTATGTATCAATAAATTTTATAAATTTTGTAATTAATTAATAATAATAATACTATTTATATTAATTTTGTTACAGGCACAAGTAGATATTCCTATAAGAAAATATAGAATATTTATGTGTATGTTACCTAAAAAACAAAGAATGTATCCCCTTCATATAATTGTACTTGCTACAGCAAAAGTTTTAGAATTTATTGGATTAATTTGCTACAAATATGCAAATGAACATCCAGATCATCCTCTAAAGTAATTATTCTAAAGAATTTCTTACAAGTTTTAATTTATATTTAACTAATCTATTGTTAATAAAAAATACATTGATACTTTATTATTTTCAGAGATGATATCACAAGATATGGCTTATATTTTACTGAAGATGATGGAGAAGTTGACTGGGATTTACCTTGCTTAGATCCTAGGGAAATAATATCTAAATTTGAATTTACAACGTTAGGTCTTGCAGAAATGAAACCCAGCGATAGAGCGCGACACAACATGTTTAGCTGGGTAGAATTAACGAACGAAGACGATTTTCTAGAAGGTCAAAACGAAGAACAAGAAGTTGCTGAAGATTTAGCAAAAATGGAAGGACATACGACTGCTATGGAAGCTCCATTGTATCAGTCATACAGGTATTTTTTATTTATTAAATTCATAAGAAAACTTATAATTAATATGTAACATTCTATACAGGGTATACATAATTAGTAAAGTCAGAGCAAAGACTGAAATCTATCTAGGAATATCTGGTGAAAAAATTGAAATTAATCCAATAATAACTGGAAAAGGTGCAGGTCGTTTTTGGAATCGGCAAAGAGCTGTTAGTTATCAAATAGACAATATTGCCTGGTGTGAAGTAACAGAAACTAAGGGATCAAAAACAATTTTTACATTAGTTTATACACCACATTCTTCTACTTCTGAAAATATTTTAGGTTAGTCTAATTCAGATATTTTATATAACATAAAAAAGTTATCCAAAAATTTTAAAAAATTTTTTTTATACAGTACCATCTGGACAAATGCATTCTTTACATCAGTCTGCATCATTTAAAAATCATGAATTTGAAGCTGATTCAATGACAGCTGAAGAAATTGTCAGAAAAATAAACCATATATTGGAACTACATAATAGTATATCAAGAAAGGAATATCTATCTCAGAAAGAAAGAAAAGCAGCAAGACGAAAAAGTTTTCATTTGCATAGATGACAGCTCTATTGGTTTCTATATTCTATTTTAAATTATTTAAAACATTAATTGTACCAATGAGATAATAATTGAAACAAATATTTACTTCAATACAAGTATAATCCTATCATTTTAGTAGTTGCACTATCAATTTCTCATATCAGGATAAAGCTTTTGAACATTAAATAGTACACAATATTTTTACTTAACTAGATATTTATTTTTCCTTAGAATGTAAATATATGTACATGTAATGTATATATTTATTTTGTATATAACCAAATATTTGTTCATTTCATATGTAATTATATTTATTTTAATATCTACTGTAGTAAAATAATTGTACATTGTTTTATCTATAATATATGTGCAATATTTGTTATGACCTTGATGTCTCAATAATTTTGTCTGTAACCTTATTTAGTCTTTTTTCCATTTGCAAAATAAATCTTTGATTTAACTTATAAGTTAAATTACGCAACGTCGATATCTTTTTAATCATATCTGATAATTCTTTATAATTTCTATAAATATGTTGATAGTTTGGTTGAGCTCTAACAAAAGTTTTCTCAAATTCTGCTAAAATATTAAAATCTAAAGATTTTCCTTGATTCTCTAAATGTAATTTTTGATTTGCAAGATTTTTTCGTTGTATCTTTCTCTGCTTTAATGTATTTATCCATTCTTTTCTTTCATTTCTTAAATTAATTATATATTTTTCTAAATTAAAAGGTTTTTCTTGCGATATTTCAGATACACATTTTATTCTTTCATTATCGTCAGCATCTTTAGCACCTTCTGCACACTGTATATCTTTAATTATAAAACATAATTTAATAAATATTAAATAAAAATTCATTTTTCTAATAATTTTACATTATACAAAATTTGACTGAAACGATATATCATAAACATTATTTAGATATTATGGAAAAATAAAATCGTAAATTAACTAACCTTCATGTTCGTCAAATGCAATTGTACGACTTTGAAAAACAGAAGAGCGCCGTTTATGAACAGATTTTGTATATTTTAAATCATTTTCTAAATGCAATGCATCCATAAAATGAGAATTATCCATTCTATCTATTACATATAATTCCCATAAAAAAATAGTTTATACTTCAACAAAGATTCGGTTCAATTTTAAATAAGCCAATCACGAAGCAGTATTGAATATGACATACTGTACCATTAATATGTAAATGCGATAAGATAACAAAGTTCTAATTTGTCATTTTATTATTGTAATGTTCTATAAAAATATTTTCATATAATTTTTTACAATATTTAACAATATCTTCTCATAATGTAACAGTATTATTTTAAATATAATTTTTATGAATAAGTTGGAAAAAAAATTAATCAATTAATATTTATTACAATTTATCAGAAAATCAATTTAATTTATATTTTAATATTAAAAAACAAATGGACACAAATATCTTACTTTTTCTTCAAAAATTTAAAATACTAAGTACAAATACCATGTAACATTAAATTCATGCTTTGTGCGTGAAAAATTTTTAATTTTAATAAAAGCTTCCAAAAATATTTTACAATTTTATTTTTCTTTAAATAATATCTGTGATTCAAGATAGTAAATATTTATCTACAACATTATGGAAACATTTTGAATACTCTAGAAATTTCTATAGAGTGTGCAGTCAACTCAGAGTTTGTATAATGTTTGCAGTGTGCAGTCGGTTTTTAACAGTCGAGACGAATTGAACGTGAGTAAAATACATTTAATAAGCTTACATTCAAAAAATCTTGAATTTTATGATCAGCATTCAAAGGAAAATTGTGAGTGCTGAATTTCTTTTCTCTTACGATTAATATTTAAAAATCTTACTTATATTAATTTTGAAGAAAGCAATGTCGACAAAGGCTGACGAGGTAAGCAAACAAATGTTTAATTTTTTAAATTATCATTTATATTATTAATAACAAAAAATATAGTGTACTTATTTAACAAAATATCATATATGTATGTAACTATTAATACGTTAAAATTAGAATTTAACATTCTACTGTTTTAATGTATTTAATCTGTAATGTTAGTTTTAATATTCAGTTCTAATACTTTAAAGTGTTCAATTTTTAATCTATTTTTTTTATATTAAAATAAAAAATATTAGAATTATCTGTAAAAAATATATTGTAATTAATTTTGTAAATTTTTTTATGTGATTAACAATGATTGTTATAAATAAAATTGCTCAAATAAACTTTATTAAAATTTAACAAACAACTATTTTGTTTTACAGTTAAAATTAGATATTGAAGAATTTAATAATCTACTTCGACAAGCAAATCGCCAAAAAAGCAAAGATGTTCTTAGTCTTGAAATTAGGAAATTGCAAACAGAATTAACAAAATTGATTGAAGAAAATAAAATACCTCAAATAAATCCAACTAACGTAGTGTCTAACTCTTCTCAAAAGTATTATGAAGTTAAACTTAATAATTATGGTTGGGATCAAACAACTACAACAATGAAATTATATGTCACACTGAAAGATGTACATCAATTGCCTAAGGAAGCTGTAACTTGCAACTTTACTGAGAAATCTTTTGATCTACATGTTCTTGGATTAAATAATAAAAATTATAGCTTAACAATTAATAATTTATGTGAAGATATTGATTCAGATAAAAGCAATGTCAAAATCAAAGTTGATATGGTGATAATATCTCTTGCCAAAAAAGTTCCCAAATATTGGTCGCATGTAACAAGTGTAGAAAAAAGAATCAAAGAATCAAAAACATCTTCAGTTCCAGATATGAGTGAAGATAATGATCCTGGTACCAGTTTGATGAATTTAATGAAAAAAATGTACCAAGAAGGAGATGATGAAATAAAAAAGACAATAGCCAAAGCGTGGACAGAGACTCAAGAAAAAAAAGCAGCAGGAATAACAGATTATTCTTAATTACATGTTTACAAATGTAAGTTTATTATTTTGTAGGTTATTATTGTAAAACATTAATTTTACAATGTAAGTTTATTATTTCGTGGATTATTAACGTACAATGTAAATAATATAAAATGTTAAGATGTAAAGGTATTAAGTGTATGTTTTACATATATTACAAGTTTAAGCACTCATTAATTTTATAAAAAAAATTATGTTGTCAAATCTATTATGTAAGTGTTCTTAAAATAATGTTTTTTAAATCAAATAAAAGGTCTAATTATTTCAATTATAAAAATTAATATATTTTGCTTTTTTGTAATAATAATTATAATTTTATATTACTTTTATTCTTTATTTATACAATATAAGTCAATTAATTATTATTATATCATCATAGCTGCTTACAATAAAGAAAAATTATAAAAATATCTTGTAATTACTCAATTACTTTCATGTAAACGGCAAATGCATAAAATGATACATCTATAATTTACCGTTTCCTATATTTTTAAATTACTGTTGTAATTGAAGCTTTTCATATACAATAATTTTATAAATTTAAAAAAATTTTGAAATTTTACTATATTACACAAGTCAAATTTAATAATACTGTAGAAATAAGAATTTATAAAGATGACGAATATTAAAAACTAAGAAAAACACATTGATTTGTTTACTATCAAGTATCGATAATTAATGAGAAGCGATAGTTTTTTTATGAAGATAATTTTTGTCGTGTGAAAATTTGCTGCTCGTTACAAAAATGCACATTATATACAAGGAATATATACAGCGATGTTTCCGAGTTTAAAAAAGGTTGTTAAATTCAGAAATTCGTAGAAAAATTAGTTTTACTGTTATTTTGTTGTTAAAGTTTTATTTTATATGTAATAAGTAATTTCTGTTTATGACCTAGTAATTCATTCATTAGTAGTATATAGACAATGATTTAGAAGTAATTATAAATTAAGGTTATAATTCTTGAATTATAAAGAAGGTTATAAGGTTCACCTTTTTATTTAACAGTAAATTGAATTGCAAGAATGTGAAATGAACAAGAAAAAATTATTTTGTGATATATGCATAAAAATTGTACAACTTGTAAAAATGTACATTAATATACATTAAATTGATGAAATGAAGAAACCATTTTCTGCAATATGTAAGTTATATTTAACATGTTGATTTGTACATAGCACATACATATGTATATAATTTCTTTTTAAAATCAATTTCATAAACATTAATGCTTTTTTAACATATAAATTATAGTAGTACTGTCAAAAATAAGACACATACATGCCTGTTTTATTTATTTACATCCTAAATATTTTTGTTACCTTTTATACATTTATATTTCTCAAGTTAAAGACTAAATTTATAGACAACATAATTATATAATATGTTTAATTTAAAATTAAAAAACTCAGTATAATTCATTTTATGAAGTATTATAGGCATTGTTAACAAATCTTTATTTACTTATTTTTGAGTCATAGAAATACATAATTTTTAGAAAAAGCTAATATTAATATATTGAATTGAAACTAATATTAATTTTTTGTAAATATGAATATATTTAATATTAATATATTTAAATATGAATATATTTAATATTAATATATTTAAATATGAATATATTTAATATTAATATATTTAAATATGAATATATTTAATATTAATATATTTAAATATGAATATATTTAATATTAATATATTTAAATATGAATATATTTAATATTAATATATTTAAATATGAATATATTTAATATTATAAAAAAAATTATATAATATCTGAGTATTTCTATAATAGTAATAAAACACTTTTCCATGTCATATTTGTAGTTTTATACGCTTCAATTATTACATACTTTTGTAAAGAAAACATTATTTTATAAAATTCTTTCAGTTAATAATAATTCATGAAAATTTTATACTTTTAAAGTATAAAATAGAAATACAAAGAAATAATTGTACTTATTCATACACACAAACACACACGCACACACATACAAATTTTTTGCGTCATTGCATATGAATCGATAAAAATATAGGATACTTGAATATTTTTATAAAATTTCATAGATAAAATGTTGTATGCAATTTCATAAACACATGTAAAATTTGAATTTAATATTATTTTGTAAATAATTACTGTATCTAATTAAACTACTTATGAAATTAAAATTATTTTTATATTAAAGCATATATTCATTTCTATATTTTGTTATTTTTTCCAAGTAAAAGAAAATTAATATTTATTTTCATACATGTATAAAATTTTGTTTAAATATAATTTACATTTATAAATAGTTAAAAAATTTGTTGAAAATAAAGTTATTAATATAAAATTATTGTAAATATAAATGTATAAAAGAAATACAAATATATTGACCTGATATTATATATTATATATATCTGATATATATATATCAGAATTAAAATTTTGAATTTATAAATGAAATTAAAAGAAAAATAAAAATTGAAATTAATAGTAATTAAATATTACTTACCCTATCTAACTATAGCACATATATAATTATTTGATAAAAATAAGGAAAACATGTCTTTGGTTTACAAGCTGAGACTTAATTCTAATCAAAATATAAATAAAAATTCTATCAATTTACCATGAAAAAATTATTTTACTCTAGGAAGAAATATTTGATTGTTGTACTTCATGACTGGTGGCATGAAAAACTTCTGTCATTGTATTCTTTGTCCTTTCTATTAAATTTTCAATATCAGCTGATGTTAGTCCTTCTGTTGATATTGGTGGTAAAGTTGTTATAATAACTCGACCTTAAGATTATCAATTAGATTATCATATAATATTTTGCATTCCAATAAATTATTATGGATAAGACTTACCGGCATCAAATCTCTTTTCTTTAGAAGACAAAAAGTAATAAGAAGAAAAAACAACTGGTAATATAGGTAACTGAGCATTAATTGCAACATGAAAGGCACCTTTTTTAAATGGATGAATTTTGCCAGTATTGCGCCTAGTGCCTTCAGGAAATATCCACAATTTAATCTACATAAAAAGCATGTAAAAATAAATAAATAAATATATATATATATATTATATATAATATTGAAAATTACCTTATCTATATTATATACAATATTGTACAAATATTTCTATATTATATAAATCTAATTACCTTATCTTTTTTAAGATAGACTATGGCACTATTTAAAATTGAACGGGCTTTATCTGATTGCATTTTATCTATAAATATCAATCCACAAAACCAAGCAGCTAAACCAAATGGCCATGCATAAAAAATCTGTTTTTTTCCTACAACTGTGCACTTTTGCATTATTGGCCATATTTGGTACATTCCCATTATGTCTAAAGAACTTTGATGATTTGATACTATTATACATGCTCTTTCTTTTTCTAAATGTTCTTTCCCCCTTAATTCCCATTGTACTCCCATAAGGTGAGTACAAAAGGAACATGTAGCTGATGCTAATCTAAAATTATTTTATATACTTTTTATAATTAATAAAATATTAATAATAATTATTATTATTATTATCTCTATTATATTAATAACAAAATTATTGACAAATGGTGGATTAGTTTTTAATTGGTTAAAGATATGATATATTACATAATATTGTTACATAATATTATATAATTAAATATATATAAATAATCAATTACAAAAAATAATTAAAATTATGCGTAAATTATAATTATATATTATAAATTATAATAAAATTAAAACTTAAATATTAGTTAAAATATTTACAAGTTATCTTATTAAAAAATATATTTCAGTAAATACATTTTCTAAATGAAAATCTGCTATTTGAATTTTTATTTCATGATAACATTTATATATAATTTTACAATTTATATATATATTTTTATACTATTATATTTTGTGTATTTAACAATGAAAACTAATTTTTAATTGTATACTTTTACATGTTATGTTAGTTTTTAATTTATATTTCCGCATCTGTATGACATTTTTAGGATGAATTTCATGAATTATTTAAATACATATTACCGCTGTATTGGAAATATACATCATATCACCATCGTTCAATAAATTTGTCCTATTATTTTCAATTTGATCAAAGATGATCAAAAATTTATCAAACTTAGGAAATGAAACATAATTAAAATAGAAAAAGAAAAAATCTAAACAAAGAAATGTAATAAAATAAACAACGCTTATATTTTCAAAATTGGTGTAATTACTAACAAATAATTTTTCACGTTCTTCGGTCGAAAGCACATAATTGGAAGGACGAGCAATGAATTCACCATTACAACTCCATAATAGATAAAAAACTTGAGATAGTAACGAAAAGTCCTGCTCACTTCATACAACACAGGTATCATAAGGAAGAAACCAACGAGGATCACCTCGAAACATGAAGGTGCCATCTTTTATGACAACGGAGGGCGAACTCTATACCTAATATTTTAGTTATAACGCACTAGAATTAATATCGCACTTTTTGCACTAGCTTACGATGTTCTAAAACATTTTAATTATTGTACAATATTATTTTTCTCCTTTTATAGACCACAAACATCGGTTTTTATATGATTTTGTAATTTGAATAATGCTATATCACACATATATGTATGTATATACATAGACTTTGTTCTCAGTACTTCTCTATACTGATATCAAAAGCCATTTGTCATGCCTTAAGTACTTATTTCCTTCAAGAAATTCTCCCATCTCCCAAATATACATATACTTTTTAAAGATAATATTACGTATAAATGAACGATAATTATTTATGTTATGTTCAATGCAATTTGTGTATATGTGATGATTCCAGAAGAAAATCTATTTTTTCCTTTACTGTGATACCATGTGGAAATTTTATAATAATTAATGTATCTGAAATACTTAAACATACATAAAAGACATATATTTAACAAAAGATATACTTATCTACAAATGAAATAAAAAAACATTGTTAGTAATACGTGATACATAATAACCAATCGTCATATTGGAGTTCAATACTGAAAAATGTAACTTATTGTTAAATATTTTTTCTACGTTCTTATTTATAATATTAAATTTATTGTGCTCTAGGATCGTCAATTTTATTTTCATTTTTTATATAGTCGTTTTATTTTTTTTTTTTTTTATAATTTACAAATGATTTATTTAAATTTTAAATATCAATTTACGTATTATTCTATTAATTGTGTATATATATTATTAATTAAATGTTAGATCCAAAATTTTACTTTACATTTTTTATAAAAATATTTTATGAATCACATAATGATTATTTTCAATTATTTTCAAAAAATAATGTCGACTTTGCTGACAATCAATATAATAAGTATTATTATAACTTTATAACTAGTTATAACTTTAATAACTATATTGTTATATAGTTATAAAGTTACTATTTTCAGCTTTTGATTATAAGCCTTATCAAATATTATTAGCCTCTGAATGAAATTATTTTCTGTATTGTGTATCATTTAACCTACGACCTATTGACGATAACATTTTTAACATGACATAAATGCGTAAATGTAAAAATATATAATTTTTAAACATCAAATAAACAATTGTGCTTGTTATAAATTCATGTAAAATAATTATAATATACAGGATGTCCAGCATCGGTAATATAATCAAAGAAGTGGTGATTCTATATAAAAAAAATAAATCGAAAATAAAGAATAAAATTTTTTTGTAAAATGCTTTATTTTCGAGAAAATTAAGTTTGAAAATTTATCGAGCATACTGGAATTTGATTAATACTAGAAATAATAGGAAAGAATAATTAACAGCAAATTAGTTTACGTGCAAAAATAAGTTAAAAATGTAAAATAAAATTTTTTATTTAAAGCTTCCTTTTTTGAAGAAAATTTTGAAGACTTTGAATATGTTTTGTCTTACATACTTGATAAATTTTTTAATTTGATTTCGAGAAACGAAGCATCTTGTGCAAAAATTTCATTCCACATTTTCGAATTATTTTCATGTATAGAATAATCTATTATTTTTTTTATCAGGTAGAATTAGCTAAACTCAAGTATATTTAATAAATTTTCAAACTTAATTTTTAAAAAAACAGAATTTTTTTCATACAAGATTGTATGAAAAAGTTTTATTATTTTTTATTTTCTTTTTGACTCTTATTTCTATTATTTTTTATTTTCTTAGAATTACTCTTCCCCGATCATGATCTACCGATGCTGAGACACTACCCTGTAATATAATTTTGCCATATTATATTATTTTGATGATTTAAACTATCTCGATTTCAATATGTACATAAAAACTAATTTTAAACGTTAAATATTCTTAATCTTTTATTCTTATACCTGTTATGACAATAACAAATAAATTTTTTTCTTTACAGAATATAAGAAATTAAAATTGATTTTTATTATCTTATTTATACAATATTTATCATATTTAATAATGTGATTCAGATTTAATTTCACAATCCATTTCCAAATGATATACATTATATATAATGTTAATTACATCGTAGTTTTATATATATATATATATATGTTGTAAATTTGTAAATGTAAATTACACTTTTGTTAGATGTATCATAGTACATCTGATTTGAATAAGGAAATATAATATAAAGATTTTCATATTGTTTAAAATTTCGATTATGATATCGTATAGCAAATAGTTCGATAGTTCGCGCGGTAAATAAAGAGAAAGGTAGAATTTTAAATTTTTCTAGTTATTATGTACATGTGTTACAAATAGGTTAGTTTTTCAGTTAAGAGTATATTTAATCAAGTAAAAAATTTGAAATTACTTAGAGTAGAATTCAAATTTATATTTCAAAATCGTATTAAAACAAATTAATATGATATAAATATTTAAAATTATCATACTCAATAGATATTATAATTAAAAGCATCGAAATTCATTTTTAAAAGTATACTAACATACAGGTATGTATTAAAGATTGATATTATTAGATATTATAATAAGTTATTGAATTTATTTATAAAAAATAATATTTGTAGATTATTAGAAATAACATTATTTAGAAATTTGGTAGAAAAATGCAAGTGGATTTACAAAAACGTGAAGATACTCAAACCACAATATTAGCATTATTACTTACACGTAAAGGAGGACATACTTTACGACAGCTAAATAATGAATATTATGACTTAGAAGGCGAACATATACCATGGAAAGAATTAGGATATAACTCTTTATTAAGTCTTTTATATAGTATGTCAAAAACAGTACAAATAAAACATCAAAATAATACAATTATCATACAAGGTATTGCTTCTGAAAAATCCAAACATGTTAGTGAATTAGTAGCAGGTCAAAAAGTTCAAAAACAATTAGTTAAGCGAAAAGTATATAGACCAAACCACTATTTTCCTACAACTGCACCTCCTAGAATTCGCATACCAGCTGAAATATTAAGTAAGATAATCAATATAATTAATGATCATCCAGATGGGATAAATAAGGATTATGTGCTTAATGAAATTCATTTATCTATACCTTTTGCAAACATTACTATGAAGGACATGGAAGAACAGTTACAAGAATTATCACATATGATTTTTCAAACGAATAATAAGATTTATCCAATTCAGTCTAAAGTTAAAAATTTTAATAATGCAAAAGACTGCAATGATATATCTCACTCTAAATCGAAATCAATTATGACTGTTGCTGGAAATGAAGATTCAGATGATATATTACATGATGAAGAAGATATTTTTGAATTTATACATCCTAATTCTATATATCAGTTTGATCAAGCAAAGTCAAAAATCAAATTTACATCTACTTTTACAGAGGAAACTACATCTAAATGGCAAGATCAAGAAATAGAACATATATCAATAGAAGAAACACATCATAATAATGACATTGATCCTATTAAAAATAAAAAACTTGATATAATAAAAGATAAAGAAAACATTTTACATAAGAAAAATGTTGAAATACTTATAAATGAAAAAATAAAATTACGTTTGGAAAAACTTATTGAAAACCAGGTTGATGGAATTTGGTGTGCCGATTTACCTGAAAAATATCTAGAAGAATATAAAGTTCCTTTAAATTATATAGAACTTGGTTTTAATAGTGTTAGAGAATTTGCATCACAGTTACCTGAAATCTTTCACTGTATTCAGCCTTATGATACAGGAGATTTCAAGCTTTATTATGCAAAAAGCGAAATACCTTCAAACAAAATAATAAAGGAACCTAAAGATAGTAATATTGCAAAATATTATATCTATGAATCAACTGATGAAGCAATTCCAGCATCAGTGGTAAAGATTCTTTGTTGATATATTTATTTACAAAAATTTAATAATATTAATTTAATAAAATTAAATTTTTAGTCACTTGATACATGTAAATTGTTAATACCAGATACTGTAATGAGTATTGGAGAATATGTAGAGCATATAAATGTTACTGATTTAGCACAGAATGAGCAACTTCTTGTAGAAGTTATTGTTGTAGAAGTTTTCACACCTTCATTCTTTTGGATTCAACTTCGTAAAAAACAAAATATATTTAAAACGTTTATGAATGATTTAAAGTATGTAACAAAACCAAACGAATTTTATAATTCTAATTAAATAATTATAATTTATAATAATAATTGTTTCTTACAGTAATTTTTATGCAGTGCAATATGAACAATATATAATCCCACCAGTTGTACTAGAAAAAGGTTTAAACTGTGTATGTATATATAATGGAATATGGCATAGAGGAATAATTAAAACTGTAAAACCAGATTTTCAAGTCACTGTAAGTATATCAGTTAAGTCATCTAGAAGTTTAAATATTTTTGAAATTATTAATTATATTAAAAAATATTTTAGATAAAAGTTGAATGGTTTTGAGATGAACATTAATTGATATATTATTTTTTAATTCAGCTTATTATTCTTTATAAAAAAAAGTATTAAACCATAGCTATTAATTCAGAAAATATTTTATTTAAAATATTGTAGTGTGATACTTGCTTAAAGTCGAATTTCTTTGCTTAACTTCATGCTCCTTAGATAATATTTTGTTTCTATTGATATGCATCATTCAAGAATGTAGAAATATCATTGTAACCAGTAACGATATGCATCATTCAAGAATGTAGAAATATCATTGTAACCAGTAACGATATGCATCATTCAAGAATGTAGAAATATCATTGTAACCAGTAACGATATGCATCATTCAAGAATGTAGAAATATCATTGTAACCAGTAACGATATGCATCATTCAAGAATGTAGAAATATCATTGTAACCAGTAACGATATGCATCATTCAAGAATGTAGAAATATCATTGTACTAACATTAAGTAATGTGAAACATTCTTTAAGAATTACAAAAATGATTACAAAAATGTTTAAATGTCATTTGAGCACATCACTAGAACATTTTATAATAAATATATAATAATGAAATAGATATTTATTTTATTCTAATCACAATAAATAATTAATAAATATTACACGATCTCCTGTTATTACTAATGCTGTTTACAGATAAATTCGATACTCAGAATTATTTGAATTAAAATATCTTCTGAACTAATAATTTTTTGATGTTGAACTAAAATATCTTCTGAAATAATGGTTTAATACTTGTTTATAGATGACAAGCTGAATCGATTAAAAAATATATGATTTCACTTAAAAAAACAAACTTGATCTTCAAACACTTTTTATGCATCCACTTTTGTCTAAAACATTTTTTGATATAATTAATTGCTTCGAAAATATTTCAGCTTCTAGTTTTAGATGACTTATCCTCTATACAATTCAGTTTAAATATATATCGCTCATTTGCTATAATAATAACATAACGATTTTATAGAAAAAGAGTTTGAATGTTTTTATAATTTTATTATACCATGACATCAAAATGTTAGCTCTTATAACAATATTTAGAATTTCACCAAGTTGTTACAGTAATATTTCGAACATTTACAGAACTTTACCGATAAAAAGTACAAGTCAGTTTCTGTAATAATTCAAAAACTGCAAATTTGAGTTATATTATTATTTAATAAATGAACGATATACAGGATGTTCCGCATTTTTTCGTACATACTTCGGGAGTGTGTTCTACAAGTAAAAATAAGATCAAAATGTTATATAACAAAAAATCCATAAATGCTTTGTTGAGAAGTTATGACAAAAGTAAGAAATGTGAAAGATATGATATTTTATCTCTATTTCTCTCAGTTCAATACAGGGCAAGACAACATCCGTAATGTCTATGTTAAGTAACGTAAACAAGTAGATTGGAATACGTTTACTGTTTTTATAATTTTGTGTGGGCAAATGAGAATCCATATGCTGTAAGAGAAAGATCATTTCAGCATCAATTCAAATGCAATGTTTGGTTGTGCATGTATGACGAATTTTTAATCGGACCTTATTTCCTTCCTGAGTGGTTGACAAGAGAGTCTTTTCTAATTTTTAACAAATGATCTCCCACTACTGTTAGAAGATGTATCTTTATCATTACGTGAAAAACGGCTGGATACAATTAGATAGGTGTCCAGTACATTATGCCTGCTGTGTAAAAAATTGGCTTAATAGACAATATTCCCAAAGGATTGATCGAGGGGGACCAATTCCTGGCCTCCTGGGTCACCTGACCTTACACCTTTAGATTTTTACTTATGGGGCACTCTAAAAGAAAAAGTTTACAGTACAGAAGTACGTACAAGAAACGAATTAATTACAAAAATCAACATCGTCTGTGAAGAGATTAGACAATATTGTAACCAGCTGAAATCAACAATAAATTCAATAACGTCGATGTCAAATTTGTGTCAACAAAGGCATCACTTTTAAATGGAGATTTATAGGTATATTCAACAGCGTTTAAATCATATTTTGTATTTTTGTCATAAATTCTTAACAAAGTATTTATGGACTTTTTGTTATATAATATTTTAGTCTTATTTTTACTTGTAGAACACACTGCCGAAGTATGTACGGAAAAATGCGGGATACCCCTATATGTTATTATTTCTGCAAGTATAAATGTACTACATTACTGGCCAAAGATATTTTAATTATATCTAATGTCATAACCATTATTGATACCAATTTATTACAGATAATGTTTTATGACTATGGAACATTGAAAACATATTCTCCAGATGCAGTATATTACTTACATAGAATGTTTTCCACCTTACCAGCGCAGGCAATACCATGTGGTTTAATTAATACAAGACCTTATAAAGCATCTAAATGGTCCCGTAGTGCTACTCATTATTTTGCACTAAGAACAAATGATATACCTTTAGTTGCAACAATTGCAACAATTAATACAGAGGTAAGAATACTTAAAATATTAAAATTTTTTTGATTAACTGTATATATTTAATTAGGTTCTTTTTAAAATAATTAGTAATATCTTGGAAATTCTTTTTTATTATAGGATAATTCAATGATGGTAACTTTGACTGACACATTAGAAGATGAAGATGTGCACATTAATGACTGGTTAGTGGAACAAAAGCTAGCAGAACATGGAAAAATGGTTTGTATAAAAAAACGGAATTTTCCATTTCGTTATTATTTAGAATGTCAAGAACGTTCTAAACGACAAAAATTTATCGACATTTCCAAAACAAGAATAAATTCTCTAAATAAAACACATAATTTAAATTTTGATATGGATTCATTTCATAGAAGTAATTTTAGTGAAATAAATAATAAGGAAAATTTATATAATGAATTGATTTCATATACAGAAAAGAATAAAACATCAGAATATTTTGAATCTACTAATTCTCTTAAAAATGATTTTTCAATTGAAAAACCATATAATTCTATTACAAATTCTGAAAAAAAATCTCCAAGAAAAATGGGATCTTTGTGTGAAATATTATTAAATCTTAAATTGAAATCCATTAATTCTACCAAAATTAGTAATGATAATAAAAATAATAATAATCAAATTTGCGAAACAATAGAAAATAAAGAACACTTAGATTCTGGTTTTAGATTAAATAAACCTGTAGAACAGAAATCGTATGAAGAGTTTGTTACATGTCATGATAATATAAACTGTAATAACACTACAACCAGTACTTCGTCTATTAATATGTCTGTTAACAACAGAAGAAATAATAAAATGTTAGATAATAAATGCGATATTTTAAAAAAGTATAATATTCCTAAACAATATGCTAATCATTTTGATATACAAGAATCAGAAGATGAATTAGATAATAATGACGTAAACAACTCTACTGAAATGAAGAATATAGATTGGTCTATTATTTGGAAAAATGCAATACAAGAAACGAAATATATATCACAAAAAAATGAATTTGAAATATCTCATGAAATAATTCCTAGAAAACAAAGTAATATATCCTTAGCTGAAAACGTTTTTTTGAAAGTAGTATATAATAGTTCTTATTTTAATTTATGTGATAAAGATATACATTGGTCACCAAGTGGAAATATTACTAAAATATCGAATGTATCTCCATTAATTTTAAAAAATATTAAAAAGCATAAAAAGAGCATAAAAAATAATATGATAGTTGTTATACCACAAAAAATATTGGAGACTTTGATAGACGAAAAATTACTTAAAGCATCTAAAAGTGCAAAAGAAATGCAATCTATCTATGTGAATTCATCACAAAAAATTAACGATACTAGTATTGAACACAGTGTAAAGTATACAAACAATGAAATATTTGATAATAAAAATGTTGAAAATTTAGAAAATTATAAACATAATAATTACATTTGCATGAAAATAATGGCTTCTAAGCAAAAATTATTGGAGAAATTATTATCAATAAAAGATATATCAAGTGATATTTCAAGTTTAGACTCAGACGATTTAAGCACATCAGCAGAATCTATATCATTTCATTGTAATATTAATAATGATAAATGTAAAAAATATGAACATAATACAAATGTTCATAAGAGTGCATCAAATCAGTCTTTGTCAGAAATTGACGTCAATTGTCTTGTTAAAATAGAAGTAATAGATTCAAATATACAGGAATCATTTAAGTCTGTAATTAATAATTTGAAAATATATGAGACAGGAGAAACATCCAACAAACTAATTAACCAATTAACAGAAGATTTAGCAACATGTTCACAGCAATCAACAATAATAGAAAGATCAGATTTGATAAAAAACCTTAATTGTGCACAAGAATTATCATTAAATATAGAAATAAAAGAAACAATAGAACCAAAGAATGTAGAAATGAAAGAAACAATAGAAACAATAGAACCAAAAAATGTAGAAATTAAAGAAGCAATAGAACCAAAAAATGTAGAAGTTAAAGAAGCAATAGAATCAAAAAATGTAGAAGTTAAAGAAGCAATAGAACCAAAAAATGTAGAAGTTAAAGAAGCAATAGAACCAAAAAATGTAGAAATTAAAGAAGCAATAGAACTAAAAAATATAAAAGTTAAAGAAGCAATAGAACCAAAAAATGTAGAAGTTAAAGAAGCAATAGAACCAAAAAATGTAGAAGTTAAAGAAGTAATGGAATCAAAAAATGTAGAAATAAAAGAAGCAATAGAACCAAAAAATGTAGAAATTAAAGAAGCAATAGAACCAAAAAATGTAGAAATTAAAGAAGCAATAGAACCAAAAAATGTAGAAATTAAAGAAGCAATAGAATCAAAAAATGTAGAAATAAAAGAAACAGTAGAATCAATGAAAGAATTATTTTTAAATACAGAAACTACACAAACAGAAAAGATACAATCTGAAATTAATACAGTAAATGATACAGAAATGTCCAACATACCAGTTTTTAATGATATTGATGAAGAAGAATTTGATGAAGAAGAATGGGATGTACATATAACATCTGAGCTTTGTGATTTTTTTAAAAATATTTATATTTCTAATAAGAGTATTAAAAATAAATTCAATCAGAATGAATATGATTCGAATTTAAATATAGTAGAAATAGATAATTCAAATTCAATTGAAAATGTAGATAGTATAGAAACGTATAAAAATGCAAAACATGATACCTATGAAGTTATATACTCAGATAAAATTACTAATCAGGAAGATGAAATAGAAAACTTAGTGAATAAAAGTTCCCAATTTAATAATCACATATCCATAACAGATACTGAAAAACGTTTAGAGATAAATAATAAATGTATATTTAATACAAATTGCAAGGTAAAGCAAGAACATTAATAAAAATGCTAAATAAAGCAAAATTATGGCAAAAAGATTGTTAAGAGATAAATGTTAACAGGTTTAAATTAATATGCTAGGTTTTAATATAAGAAATTCAAAGAAACCTAAAATTTCTAATTCTTTTAATTCCCGCTTGTTTTTAATTTAATTTTTTTTTTTCTTACAATACATATAATCAAATATTGTTTTTATTATATTCTTATGCTTTTATTCACTGTAATTGCTTTTTATGATTACAGTATACTTTTTTTCTGATGACAAAACAAATTGTTTTTCTTTTTTTTGGGGAAAAATACAACCTTTATGTTATTACAAATCTTGTATTATTACTTATATAATAAAAGTTTTTAGATAAAAAATCAACCGTCTATATTTTACTGTATACCAATAGCTCTATAGTATTTTCATGCAATGCATAACTGTCTCATAAAGAAGTAATTTTTCCCAAATTAATTGTTTTATGTACATATTGCTAGATAAATATATGGAATATAATAATACTATTTAATATGTCCTTTTACTGTTTTTTTAATTAGGAAAATAAAGTTGATATGAGTAATCTATTGCTTTATGTGGAGGAAAATTTGATACTTATGCCAGAGAAGTGTTATGAGAAGGAAGCTAATACATTTAATGGCAATAATAAAAAATTATCTAAAAGTGTTACCAATGGACCTTTGGTAACCCCGCAAAGTACTTTAAATGATATTCTCTTTAAATCCTCATCACAATGTATGCTATTTGATGAACAAAAGATATTGCCAGTGGAAGGAAACATTCAAGATCAAATTTTTCAAAATAATTCAATACCTAATGTACTTACCTGTAGTAAAAATAATCCATTTTTACAAACTGAACCTGTTTATGATCAAATTGATGACATAAGTCCAAAAAAATTTATGCAATTATGGAATGAAAATTTGCAATTGCAAATGCAAATAAATACGACACTTAATATTCTCCTTAATAAAGTAATAGAAGATTCTGTAAAAAATGAAGATTTAACAAACAATAAAAGTACTCTAAATATGATAAAAAGTACATTTTTAAATACGAATAAACAAATGCCAATATCTGTAGATTCTTTATATACAAACACTGAAAATGCACATGGAAATGTAATTTCTTCAAATGGAAATATTTATTACGAAGAAACTACTGTAAAAGATCCTGTGAAACATAATGCTATAAATAAGCAGCAATTAACTAGCACTGTTCATAATGAAAACCATAATCCAAATGCTTATATTGATTCTCCTCAAAATATTCATTTTCAAAATATAGATGGAAATCTGAATACAATAAATTATAATACTTTAATGTCAACAAGTAAAGATATTAATACAATAAATCAATTAGCATCAAATCAACAGATATCAATAAAACCAAATGGTCTTTCAGAATCTGAAAAATTTAATAACAGATGTTTTATAAATACTAATCTTCCAATGCATGTAGAAAATTCTGTACATAATGAAACGCCTTTCAAAGAAACAAATCCGTTTAGACTTAGTTTAGCCCATAAATTAAAAATACTTCCAGAAGAAGAAAAACGTTTAGATTTTAATGATTCATTACATACCATACATGAAAATAATGTTGTGGAATACGATTTGATAAACTTCCAAGATGATAATTCCAATACAAATCGAAATTTGGACGATCTTAAGAATAGATTATTTAATCAATATCAATATTGCGTTTCTGATTTTTCAAAAGACACAAGTAATATTAAAAATAATTCATTTGCAACAAATGCTAATCCTTTTAGTGATGATGTAGATGATATTATCAATGCAACATCTAGAATTATTATCAACGATAAAACTACAGAATATAATGTTCACAAAACAGAAATAGAGAAGCAGTGTTTTTCAAAAAAATCCATTGTTGATTCTCAGTTTATTGAAAAAGCATATACACAGGAATCAATACATACAATTGATATCTCTAATTCTAATCAATCTTTATGTATACAAAATAATGATCTTGTTCTATCAGAAGAAACTTTGGATCATAAAAGTATTAATGAAAATTTTATATTTTCTCCAAATTATGATTTAAGTAATAATAGATTTGCTTTATTATCTACTAATGTTTCAGAGTATTCTAAATTAGCAAATAATACAAGTATTAATGGAGAATATTTAACATGTTCATCTGCTTCTCATACATTGTACGGATCATCTCCAACAACGAAACTTAATGAAGTACAGAATCATCAAACATCAGTAATAAATCCAGTAGAAGCGTGGAACAAAACACATGAAAATACTGTTGAATTAAACAATTATAATAAAATTCACGCTATCTTTGAAAAAAATGAAGATAAAGCAATATGCAATAATGATCAGCAAAAAAATAAGATACAAAATCCAGAAAATGGGTCAGATTTTGAAGTTAATAACATAAGAGCAAACGATTTATATTTGAAAAAAACTGAATTTACTGTTGGAAAAGCCACACAGGTCCCAAAATATTTATCTCTTAATTACAGAGTGTTCTTTCAAGCAGTTGGTATGCTTCATTTTCAATTAATTAATAACATTTTTTATCCTTTTATAATTGATGGAAATAATTTGTTAATAATTTTTGTAGAGCTACCTAAACAAATAATACATATATTTCATTATCGAGAAGAAGGATGGTTATTAATAAGTGAATTCATTCAAGTATTTACAGAATCAGAAATTACTTTAAATATGGCAAAGTTATTACATGTATTCAGAATAAATGTTCAAGAAATTGACAGAACTGAAAATTCAGTAGAATTTATGAAAATTAACAGGTAATAGTTATAAATATTTTGAAAGTAGCATTTTTTATTTATTAAATGCAAAAACAATTCTTTTTTTAGTATATTATCAAAAACAACATATGATATAATAAATGGCAGTGATAAATTATGTTTAATATCAATGAAATCAGTTTTAAAAGTATTATGCAAATTGGAAATTATTTCACAGAAAGATATCAATGATATACTTACACGTGAACAATTTGTAAATGGTTCAATTATAAGACATAAAATTTGGGTAAATATTATAATCGCATTATATGAAGAGATGTAATACATAATATATATAAAACTAAGCTTTACTTTTTTTTTTTAGTTAATTGTCAATGCTTATAAAGAATTTAAATATTATATTGGAAATGGACAATAGTTAAGTAACATTAACTAAGTGTATATATTTTATTAATATATAATATGTATTTTATTAATTATAGCAATATAAATTTAATTTTTACAATATTGTTTGTCCTATATGAACAATATTATATAATGAAAGAAAGACAATTATTTTTCTTTAATATACTTTATTTTATTAATAATGTGTGGAGATTAAGTTGGATATAATTATAAATATTTTGTTACATTTTATTTTTAATTTTTGATCATTAAGTAATTAAATATATAATTACTTGAATAATAAAGTAAAGAAATAAATAAATAATTAATAGGTAATTTAATTAAATAATAAAATATATTTCACGTAATATATATTTATAGTATATATATTAAATATTTATTATATATTTTCTTTTTGTTTAAATACCTATGGCTAATTATAATAAATATTTTTGACTAAAAATCTTAAGCATTTGATAAAGCATTTAATAAATATTAGATTTTGAATTTTGCTATTATTTTACAATTTTAATATTGAATCAAGTAATTTCAGAACTTAGTTACGAAACGTGTGTGAAAAATTTTTGAAATAAATAAATATATATACGTGACGTATCGTGTATATGTGATTTTTTTATACATATCATTAGGATGTTACGTGTACCCCCTAGTGGCGTTTATTTCAACTAAGGATATATAAAAAAGAATTTGTAACAGTGTATTTCGAATTGTGTGGACATTTGATTTTGAATTGTAAATTATAAAATATATAAATTTTTTAAATCGAAACATAATGGCAAGTTCGAGCGATGCAGAACCAAAATTTACTGGATTATCAAAACATTTTAATAGTGTTACTGACCGTGGTAGAGCAAATGTAAGTAACCTCAAAATCTGCTATTCGTTCCATTTCATTTCATTTCGTACATAGATTTTTCTAGATAACACTGTAAAACTTGTATTAACTTTTTTTTTTACAGGTTGCTTTGTCAACAATTGGTGGATTAGTTGCTCTAGGTCTATATCTATATTTCAAACCAAAAAGTAATAAGACAACTGAAAAGTGAATTCAAGATTACATGCAATAGATACAGGCATACAATAGTTATGTAATAATTATTCGTGCATTATTTTATTCTTATTAGAAATAAATAATTATCAATATCTTAACGTTTATTTTTATTAAATATTGTATAAGTATTTCAATTTGTAGAATAACTGATTATAATTTATAAATTAAATATGTTGTAAATATAAATTTATTTATATATGCACTCGTTACTTTTACATGAATCTTTTATGTTTGAAATATAATTTTAATGCAATATACAATATTATATTAGTACAAGAAACATGTACAATATTCCAAGTTAATTATAGATTAAAACATTTAACAAAATACAAAGATAAAACATGGTTCCAAAAAGAAAGTATATAATTAATTAGTGAGAATATATTTTTATTGCCTAAATATATATGTATGTATATAACAAGAATTTTGTATTTAATTATCCATTAATTAAAATTTGATGATTAGGATAGAATATACATGTATGTTTCATATTATTTTTTATTATATAGTTAGAGTATTTCTGTTCCATCTATTTGAAATTTTAATATTAGTACTTTTAAAGTAATATAACTTTGTTGCATTATACATTTGCATAACGTTTTTCCTTTTTTAATTCAAATCAATCAAAATTCTAATGAGTTGTGCTTTTTTAGATGAACTTTAGATGAATTTGTATTAGTCACTCTCTCACCGATTTTGATGATTTTTTAATGTTATAGAGATTGACATTTTGAGCAATTTTTTCCAATAAAAAAAATTTTCTCGGACTCTTAATTTTCGAAATATTCGCAAGAAACACGAGTTACCGTTATAGTAAATTTTATAATTTTGTAATTCTTTGTCTTACGGCGATCGAATATAATATGCTAATTTAAACCTAATTCTTATTTTTTCTTTATAGTATATAGGGTATATTTTCTTTATCTTATAAAATTCAGATATGTTATAAGGTATTGGATCCATCACAAAATGTTTTAACAAAATTATTCGGTATAAAGATATAAGGACAAATTTACTCTTTTTATAAGTGGGATCGTGGAGGACATTTTAAAGTCAACTTCATTTTTTTAAATGAAACTATGTAATTTTAAATGCATTCGTCGAGATATGTAGTTATTTCCTATGATAAATTTCTAAATTTAGCGGCTCTTCTCAATTGGCTTTGGTCTTTTAATGTTCTGTATCTCTAAAGACATAAACATAGATAAAAAGAATTGTTAGATCTTATATTAATAAGATCTTAAATAAAAAGAAAGAGAAAAGTAACGATGTGAAATTAAGAAAAAGCTGTTAAACTCGAAATTTACCAAAAGTATCGATATAATACAATATATGTATATACATAGTATACCATATATCTTAAGAATTGTGAAAATGCAAGAAACTTGTAAAGGAGAAAATTTATATGTATACATAGTATACCATGTATTTCAAGAATGATGAAGATGCAAGAAAGTTGTAAAGGAGAAAATTTATTGGTATAAAAAAATTCTTCTTTGCAATCATCCTCTTAATTGCAATGATGCACTAAAAAAAATGTAAATACAACTTTTTGTTTATAATAGAATCATACATTTTTTTTTTTATATATTAATCGATTAAACTCGACATTCTATATAAAAGAATACTGACTTATGTCGAAAAATTAGTTTAAAAGATACTTCACTTTTTGTAAAATTCATCGTACGAAAGACAAGAGCAGTGTTCTTGTATTCATACTGTCCTTATTTTTTATGCATAGATTTTACAAAATTAAAGTTCAAATATCTCCTAAATGGTACTTTAATACTTTTTTATAAAGAATATCGAACTTCATCGATTAATGTATAAAAAAGTGTATGATTTTATTTTAGTTCTGTTAGTTTTTAAATATTAATAAAAAATTTTAATGAAATATTAATAAAAAATTTTGGTAATTATTTAGAATGCGGACGTCAAGAACGATTTTTAAACATGTTATAGAAATCAATATCAACAATGAAATTGCTGTTATGTTATATTTATAGTATTTGACAGTGATGTGACGATTCCAATGACAATAATTAATACGACTAACAAAGCGAAGAAAGTTGATTAGTAACGTTTGTACAATTCAATAACCAGCTAAAATCTTATATTTAAAATCCTGCCCCCTTCTCTTTGATTTCTAAAAATTTCGTTTTATTCTGATAGTTATGTCATACCATACTACAGTCGAAACTATTGGTTTAAGAAATATTTTAGTTTTAATTTTATAAAATCTAGCATGTCAAGGAATATTCTTGTGTCTATGTTGTCTTTGTCTTTTATATGATAATCTTTATAAAATTAAAGTTAAAATATCTTCTAAATCAATGCTTTGTAGGGAATGCCCAGATAAATCGATTAATCTATTCAAAATTGACTCTGCTCTGATTATTTGTTTCTATTGAAAAAAATGAACCTAATCTTGAAAAAAATAATTTGCTTTGTTTCTTTATATCAAACAAGTAAAAGCATTTTTGTAATAGGTCTAATACTTTTCAGTATTCAGAGATATTTCAATTTCAAAATAAAAGAAACATTCTATATATAAACCAAAGTTGAGCGAGCTTAAAGTTGCGTGCATAACTGCATATGCGAAGACTATTATTTGACCCATTTATTAGAATGAAATAATATTTTGAAAAGTTGGAAGGAAGAGGTTAAGGATTTTGAATATAAAATTTTAGCGGCCGGTCTTTATTAATTTCCGAGACATTAATATAAAACTTTGGATAGAATACATTGAATTCTGTCTATACAAACATGACTAATATAATGATCAACAATGATTAGTCATGCCTGTGAGCATCAGGGTTAATATTTATGTAATAGCGATGTCGACCTTAATATCTATAAAATGTTCTATTTAAAATTCGACATCAACTTTCGATACAATATATTGAAAGCCTACACAGATATTACTAACAATAAATTTTAATCAGATTAGGTGTCAGTTGACCTATATTAGTTATGTATATGGGTTATCTTTTTTAATCCAGCTGCTATGAGAAGCCCAACCATCAATTATCTATGAAATTTTGTTGATAAAATCCGTCGATGAATTTTAAGTACATCCTATAAAGACTGAGAACGACATCGTTATTACGTCATCGTCACTCGACAATTGACGGCGATGATTACTACAGTGACGATACTAGCTAGCAAAGACGATTTGTATTAATAACATCCGTATAGATACAATTCAATATATACTTACAATTTTTTATTAATATTTCAGAAACTAATAAAAACTTACCGCTAAAATCTTATATTCAGAATCTTCTTCTCCTCTCGATCCTCCCAAAATCATTTTATTAAATGGACCATACCGCGTTACGGCTATGTCTGTCAACTATAACTCAAAATAATGAACATCATCAATATATTAGATTTGGATTAGGGTTAGTTCGTTCAATCCAACCGCCATAAGGCGGTCGGCGATGCTTGCGTAGAGTAGTTATTTTTCGAACAAACTCGGCAAAGATGTTATTGTCTGTCATATAACGTACGAATGTTGCAATGAACAACGTACATAATTATGAACGAGCTTTTCATAAAAGTCATTTGTTTAGATTTGTAAAATATGATACACAAATAAAGAGGACTGATGTACCAGATGTACTTATAAGTATGTCACAAATGTATACATATGGATAGAATTTAATGAACTGAATTTTATCTAAGTTTTTTCTCGAATACAAATATCTCGAAAATTAAGAGTTCAACATTTTAATCAAAGAAAGAAGTATTAAAAATATTAATTTCTATAATATATTTAAAAATCATTGAAATTGACGAGGGAGTGATTAATCTACAAGTTTATCATATCTTATATATGTATGTCATTTCTTACATTTTGCGACGATTATAAAAGTTTATATATTTATTATTTATATATTACAAACAATGGAACGAAATATATAAGTATATCCTTTTTTTATCTAAAATATTCTTAATAAAAGTATATCAAAAATAGAAGAATTATTATAATATAATATAAAAGAATATGAGATCTACTTACAGTAAATGACTTCAGGTACATATTTACATTTCATTCTAAGGTACTAAGGTGCAGATCTAGAAAAATAAAAATGAAAAGATATATTTTTTTAATTTATAATTTTTTGAATAAAATAAATATCAACAAACTATATACTGTTATTTATTCTATGCGGAAAAAAGATCGTTATATGATAAATATTAATATTAATTGTTACATATATGGAATTTTTTATTTTTTTGTTTAATATAATACACCTTACTATCTTAGAATAATAAATGAATTATAATAAATACAATATTTTCATGTATTTCAATATTTTGATAAGGCATATGCAAATATTTTATTACAAGAAATATTTCAAAATATCTGATTTATTTTATGATGTAAATATTTATTTACTATTGTATATATTATTTTATACTTTTTGAAATATAAAATCGAAAGAAATTTTATTTAAATTGAATCTGAATATTATTTACAATTGTTTAAATATTGAAAAAAGCGCTGGAGAAATGTTGGTAACACTGCATTTACGTACATTTAATTTTTGTTTACAAATAAATATTATTTTAAATATTATCAGGATAACAATAACAGAGAGTTTTGTTGTTGTTTTGGTCATTTCTCTTTCAATTGTTTTTTTTTTAAAAGATAGCTAATGTTATAAACGTAATTTATGCACCAAAGTTAGGTTGTGTTTGAACATATCAAAATGGTTTATGTATGTATTTGCAATTTGTTAAAATTTTTGTGTATTACGATAACACAAAGATATTTTTTTATAGAAAGATTATATTATTTATTTATATTAAATAATTTTGTACTTGTATACGGTAACAATTCGTTTTATTTATAACGAGTATATAGGCTGTTCTAAGTTTAAATGTCAAAACTTCGGGAATGTATAAGAAAATCGATAAATAAAAAAAATCCTTTATAGATTTGCTCATTTTTATTCCATTTTGGAGAAAGTCGCGAAAAGAAAAAATTTTCATTTTCTCACTTATTTAATAAGTAATAAGTTTAACAAGAATAAATTTATTCAATGCCACTCAAGAGAGCAATTGAGAGATTAAACCGTAGTATATCAAACATTATTAGAACAATATCTACCTGCAATCAGAGTAGACAACGTGTCTTTATTAAATAGATGACATAAATAATATTACAAGTTGATAATATGGATAAAAGAGATAATAATATGAATAAGTGTAAATAAATAAATGGAAGAAACTTTTTCGTTTTTTCACATTTTTCTCCAAAATAGAGCAAAAATGAGCAAATTTTTAAAGAACTTTTTTTCTTAGTTTATCAGTTCTCGAAGTTTTGACATTTAAATTTGGGGCACCTTGTACAAACAGAGATATTTATAATATTTTTGTTTTTGAACATCTTTTATTTGCCTAATTGCTGACAGATATATTTTTTCAAACTTTATTATTTTCTTTTTAATTCGTGCATTAGATTTTGAAGAATGATAATGATGATTTATACAGTAAAGTATTTATTATGATGAACAAATGTGTTTCGTATACAATGCAATATATGTACATTACGAAGCAATTGTATGTGACAAAATGCATCGCATTTTTGAAATTTCAGATAATACAATATCATATAATATCAAGATCTTGATAAAACTAAAATAAAATTCTTATTTTAATAATACACAAGTAAAAATTAAAATAATTTAAAAGAGATTGTATTATTATTATTATTATTATTATATTTTTAATAGTATATGAAAATTTGCTATTAAATTTGAAATATCGATGGTCTTTTTATCTGAAAATCAAGATGCCCGATATTTTCGAGCTTATTCGAGTATATCGAATTTGGATGATTTTAATATAAAAAAATTTCCTTCTAAATAATTCACAAAAAAAGTATTAATTCTTATTCATGAATGACTGATTGAGTTTTTGAAATTAGATTACATATTTAAAATTTATTATAGTGTAGAATTCATGTCATTTTTACTCCATCCATTTTGTGTGGTGGACGTTCTAGACACTTGACTAGGACTTCTGACAGGACTCCTTGCAGGATAATAGACACAAGGTCCTGGACTAGCAGGTCTTCCTGATATTTTCACGCTTTGTCGCATACTACCATTCGAGACATTGTTATTTCTGCTGATAGTATTTGACCTATTTACGTGATAATGTCTGATAGAGTTCCTTAATTCTATATTGGTCATATTGGTAACGATCGACTCGTCATACGTTTGAAATTCTGGACTATCTCTGCCAGGTCCGAATAATCTCGAATTACAAAATAATTTCAGAAATATCCTTTTGAATTTCCTACCGAAGATCACGTAGATAATGAAATTTATGCTACTATTAATCGTTACGAGAAGATTGCCTGTCTGCACCAACCAAAGTGGTGGATCGTTGAGGAAGGTCTCGTGAATGTTCGAGGCCAATGGTAGAATATTACAGATTAGGAAAACGACAACTACACAAAGTAACATCGTTGCTAGTCCGATTTCACGTCTTTGATGTCGAGAGAGTTGTTGCAAATCTCTATTTGCTTTTCTTACCTGAAACATCATATTCAATTAGTTACTTTTTAGAACGTCTTATATTCATTTAATTCAAAATGAAATTAATTTTATATGAGACAAACATTTATGAAAAAGGTATAATTAATTTTATATTCAATTATAATTCGGTAATGATTTGGGAAGGTGTTGAATAGATATAGAAGATTAGAAAGAAGTAAAGTTTAGTAAATAGACTGTGAATATATGTATGTATATAGATATTTGAAAGAAAAGAGGGCGAATGATGAAATTTGTATTAGTAATTAATTACATTTTGAATTTGGTTTTAAGTTACATGTTACGGTATCATATTAGAAATTATAATAATAATTAAATAATATTATACATACATTTTTACCTTTATATGTTTCAGTATAAAAATAATAAACGAAATTGAAATATTATATGTTATAAAAATAATATTAACTTCGATACAATTTGTATTTTTTAAAAACATGTTTTTTGCGTTGTTTTATTCTTTTAGCAATATTAAGAATATTAAAAAAAATATTTTACAATTTAAATATTAAGCACTACACACTAGTAAAATGTTTATGTAATAGGGTGGTTTAATAAGAAATAACACTTAAATATTTCCGTTGTTTTTGCAAAAAGGGAAAAAACTTTATTAACAAAAGTTGTTTAGTGTAGAGAAGACTATAATATGGTAATTACAATTTTTTTGTAGCTGGTGAGGTATCTCTAGATTAGTTTTTTTTAGATTATTTTTTTTTAGATGGAATTATATATATTTTTATATATTAATTTTCTATATTAATACGGATCGACATTTTCTATAAAGAAGTATCAACGTATGAGTATCGAAAAATTATTAATTTAAGAGATATTTCAACTTTAATTTTACAAAACCTATAAAAAGATAAAAAAATGTCTTTTCTTGCCTTTTCATGCAATAAATTTGCAAAATTGTGTCATGCAATATATTGAATTCTGTCTGTACAGACGTTACTCGTTTTTGTCGTTATCGTCGACTGTCAAATAACCGATGACGTAATAGCGATATTAATGTCTATAAGTCTATAGTCTGTAATCTGTCCCTTATAATTAAACTTTATTTTGCGAATATTATTTCTTTTTAATTCTTTTGTATTACAGAAGGCGGCCGGTAATCCTTGTCCACAATGTTGTAGATAACCGAGTTTACGCGAGGCACCCTATAGATACTGAGTCCGATCTCGCAATCACGTCATCCGTTATCAGTCATCGGTGAAGACTACTACAATAAAAATTGATGTATTAATAACGTCTATGTAAGCAGAATTTAATGTATTGTGCCGAAAGTTTTCGATATAACACATTATTAATTCTAGAAATTAATAAAAATCCGAAACTAAAATTTTATATTTGGAGTTCTTTCTTTCTCCTCTCCATTTCCTCAAAATTTCATGTCGATTAAGAACTGATGTAAAAACATGTCGACTTCATAATTAACATAATAACATCAAGTAAATATGACACGATTTATTTTACTCACCCTTTGGTAGATGGCTGCATTGAATATCACCAAAGCAAGGAAAGGAAAAAGATAGCAAATAAAAAAATACATCCAGTGGACGTAAAGGGTGACATACAACTCGTTGCTTCTCAAATCCGCCGGATATAAGCAGTATATAGTAACATTATATTTCCAATGAATTTCCGTATAATAATCTACTTCCCAAAATCTATAAAAAAAGGCAGAACAAGAGTATTAATGGTATAATTCAATCTCAAGTTCAACGGATGATAAAACGAATACTCACTTTGGTAGATTGTAAACAAAGGAAAATATCACGATAATCAATACAGCAAGCCGAGCTCGTCCATACGTACAAAAGGACCTAGCTCTTAAAGGATGGCACACTGCGATATATCTCTCTAGTGTCACGGTTAGAGTCAAATACACTGTTGCGATTTGCGCCATGCATGATAATGGATACAAGAATCGAACTGTCTTCGGGTACACAATGAACTTATAGTCGAATAGTAGGCCAGTATACGCGTAAATTGCAGGTAAACCATAAATTAATATCTGAAAATGTCACAAATTTTTTTTTCATTAGTATTGTTCGCTCAAGTGGAATAACGAAAGCAATTTAGCTAATTTAGATAAACGCTTTTCTTTTTTTCAGTAATTAAAACAAATTTTTCTCTCGAGTAATTAAGAAACAGGATTGAGTTTTTAATATTAAATTTAATCTTACATGTATTGTTTTAAAAATATTCTCAAATAGTCTCAAATTATATTAAAAATATTTCGTTATTCAAATATTGTTTAATACTAATTTTGAAATTGCAACAGTTTAGGAAACGCAATGATCTATAGATGTGAAATTTAATAACCTAAATTGAATATGCGGAAGATCGAGATATTTAAACATTTAATTAACGATATTTTCATTGCAGTAATATGTTTTGCGATTATTATTTTGTTCTTTATGTCCTCAAAGAATAATAAATTAACAAAAGACTTTGTCACCGTATTTGTATATCTCAACAACTTTGCTCTCGAAGGATCAATTAACAATTATAAATTGATAATGACTAGATTGCGGATTTTTATATATTTGTAGGAAATTTAAAACTACAAAAACGCACAAAGCATATAATCTGTAAAAATATGTATCTACAATATTTATTATATCTATTATATGAAATTGAATATTTTTTAGTTGAATGAGATAAATTTCTACTTAGATTTCATTTATAAATCAATTAGGTTTATAAAAATACATATTTACATAAAAATTCATAATATAGGGATGATAGAATGTTCGTATAAAATATTCTATTGCGCAGGAAATTCTATATCTTCCATTTACTTTATATGTAAGTGGTCGCGATTTAAGATTCTACTTTAGCTAGTCCTTTTAAGCTACTTTCTCATGTCTGGAAGATAATGCTGGCAAAGTTTCAAGTTGAGCGTTTAGCAGTTTTCATGTCGAATATTTTGTCAACATAAGCAATTTAAAAGTGACAAGCTAAAAGTGACTAACAAATATCACGACTAATAATAATTTACTTACCGAAATGACAATTAATATGGTATCGCATCTGGCTAGGCCGATTAACAAGTAATTAATCGATGATTTCATTTGTGGTCTTGACAGAATGATCATTGAGATGACGTTACCGAATATTCCAAAAATACTGACTAGGTTTACTAGCACACCATAGATAATGAAATCAAACAAACCGCTCGAATTGATTTCTTGTTTACATTCGAGCGGTTCTCCTGCAGTTTCCTTAATCGATAAATTTTCCAATAATTGGTCAGCTTCGTAGTACCTGGTACTGTTCAAAGCTTCAAAACTTGTTTCCATCGTTTTCAGCTATCTTCGTTTCTTTTTTTCGCCCGATTCTTCATCAATGTTTCTTTTTTTCTTTCATGTCACCATTTCTGATTTTTCAAAAGTATTTTTTTTTCTTATCACGTACATGTGTATAATCAATAATACGTATGATTTCAATTGATCTTTTGCTACAGGCTTTTTTTGTAGAAAAAAATTCACTCGGGAATGGATTTGTTTTTGTTCGATTCAAATTTTGTACATGACGCGCAAAATATTTTTCTTCTTACATTTTAATTCAACTCTCACTACCTTTTGACTTTGTGAAAGTCGAGAACTAATAATTTTAGCAACATAACGAAGATTTTATCAAAGTTCCAAACTGCTATTTAGCATGTTCTGAAAAACTATCAATTTCAATTTGATCTGCTCGATGAAAATTTTGTAAATCTCTCGTATACACATTTGTGATATATTACAGTTTTACAATAGCCGACAATTCATCTTCTTGTTGGTTTGAATTTCCAGGAATCTGTAATTAAAGAGCATAATGTTTATTTTGAAATGCAATTTCTCATTCGCATTTATTAAATAAGATGTAGATATACAATTCAGTAAGTATCTTGCTCACCTCTGATATCTTTGTTATTTTTGACAAAACAAAAAAGTCAAGCTTCAAAATCAATTTTTTTTCGAGTTTTTGATTTTAGAGATCATTGCCGTATTTTTAATCATAATAATACATTTTTTTTTTTATTATTGTAGCTGAAAAAAAATGCATTATGTCCATTTTTAAGTAACCTGATATGAAAAAATCAACCAAAAATTTTTTTATTTCTATTCTAAATGTTTATTTTAAAAGAGATATTGCAATGATGGATATCGTACGAAACATACTCAATAAAATTTTCATACTTTTAGATAAATCATTGTGCAAGAATCTATTGGTCAGATTTTTTTTATGAAAAATGAAATATAGATGCATTGAGAATCCTACAACATCAGAAAACGTGTAAAAATAAATTCTATGTATATGCACGCACTATCATTTTTCCAGCTATAATTGAACGTGTAATATTTTTTGTGTATCGTATCTGAAAATGTTTTGAAGCTAATGGAAACCACATTGAATATTTCTCGTAAAATAAACATTTAGAAAAAGAATAAGAAAATCTTCAATTATTTTCCTTTAAATTACCATAATTTTTTCATACCAGATGATTAAAGTCAATACTATCTGAAATACATTTTTCTCCGGCTATAATAATATAAAAAGGAAAATGTCATCATTGTTGTCATAAAAAAAAATGACAATGATTCTGAAAACTTAAGGAAAAATGATGAACCATAATATTTATGGTTTATAAACTAGGTATTTGAAACTAAATAACTTTGTCTTGAGGTATTTCTCTGTATCGGCAAAAATAATGAACATATTGAGATGAGCAAGATAAAAGAAAAAGAAAAACCTTGTATACTATATGAACCGTTTGTTTTGAAAGTTACTTTGAAATGAGTCACTTTCTAGTAATGAAAAATTATGATTCGTTGACGTCTGTGCAAATTATTTATATTGAGAAAAATATAAGTACCCAAGATAACAAAATTTTTCGATTCTTGAAAGTTAGCGTCAATTTTTAGGCACGTTAATACGTAAATTTTTAAACCTCTTGATTTAAAAACAAAGTGATTTGTAGCATTCTTAAAACAAACGGCCCATATGTAGAAGAGAAATAAAATTCTAATAAATATCGCCACCTGGAGTCATATTTTTCTCCGAAAGACAGTGTGACGCGTGTTGCAACTTTTATTCTGCATTCTTAAACGCGTAACATTCAAATACGACGCATTAAATATTGCTCGAATTTCCTGTTAAGTTTGTCGACTCCTTTGATGTGAAAACATCTAGATCACGTATTCGTAGCATTAACTGTATTCGTAAGCCGATGATATCGACCTTATTCGGTAAACAGTAGCATGAGAGGAGAGAAGGGAGAAAATATACACACTAGTGATATCTGCTACCTGTGATCCAGTGATTTCGTGACTTTCAAACGATGCTCCAATAATAAACTTTTAAATATCAACGGTGCAGTAAAATGAGCGTTAACGAACTATGAAAGTGTAATGAGAGAGAAAATGGATTCGTGTTTTGTACCGAGAGAGTTTGAACGCTTGTCCACCATTGTATGAGAAGGCCGATCGGATTAAGAAACTGCGACACTGCTAGAGTGTCTGTAAGTCAGAAATATTAAAATTTTTTATGAATAATATATGGATATAATTATATGGATATGAATATATAATGATTCACGAAAGTACCTTTTATGAATACGTCATACAAAATATTTAAAAGTTTAATTAGTATTATCAATTATCAAAGTATTTGAACAGTCAATTAATAAATCGCAATATTTAATGAGAGCATCTTCAGCATATTTAAGCTAGTTTTAGCACTATATTAATATTATTTCTACTGCATACCAATTTTTTATTAATAAATAATTCTTGAACTTTTACATACACTTTTGGATTGATTTTATCATTACAATTACGATAATCGTGTTTCGTTATAATACTAATGAAATTTCAAAAAAAAGTTTCATATAACGCACTCTATAGTAAGCTTTCGAACTCGACTTTGGTGAACTATTATATTTAAAGAAATATATTAATATATTTATATTGTGTACAAATATTGTTTTTTTTTATATTAATTTATAAAAACAGCGATAATATCCGTTGTAGAAAAATAATGAATTTAATAAAAGAATTAGTCGTCGATAAAATTTATTGGTGAATTTAATATAATGTAGAGAGTAAGGTTAATTCAATTAAAAGATCGGTTCAGTGCCATCTGTATACATCAATTGGTACGTTTCAATCAATCGTTAATTTGGTCTTTTCTAATTTTCATGTTGTTGATTTTGTACACACATGAAAGTTCCTCTTTCTGAGTCAATGCATCGGTATTTTCAATAAACGACTGTCAAATGCCGTTTATTCGAAAGCGTCAAATTAAATTCGTTTTACAACTTCCACGTCATTTTGCACAGGTAGTTTAGCGGGTTGAATATATGCAGTACGAATGACTGAGTATTTGTGTCACCGACAAGCAAACAGACGTTTTATCGATTTTGAACAAGAAAAGGAGAAAAAAAAAGTAGGAGAGAAAAGTTTTGAAAGTGAGAAGGTACTTCCTAAGAAATTTAACTTTATTGCATTTTTCTCACGAACGTGTTCCGTTGCATGAACGGAAGTTTCATTGGTAACGTTTATGCCCTTAATTAAACTTTCGAGGAGCCAAATGCTGCTATTTAGTTTCTCTCTTCTGGATAAATTGCCATCAGTAATAAATCGTATTAATCTATTTTTCGTTAATATGAATTTGTCGACACGTTTATTTTGATTAATATTCGTGGTTCTAATTGGAGAATCACTTTTACATAAATATTTGAATTTTATATATTATGAAATTCAAATAATAATAATAATAATAATAATAATAATAATAATAATAATAAAAATCTTTTAAGAAATAACTTATAGCTAATAATGTAAAAAATTTACATATTATTATTACACATTATAATGTATAAAATTATACGTAAATATGTAAATTTTTTTACATTATAATTATTACAAGTTGTTTTTTAAAAGATTCTTAAAACAATTGATCGCCTCTGCTGACTTGAATAGCTGTTGTGCAAAAGTTACGCACAATTTGTTAAGTAACAAGAATTACGACTATATTGTGATATACATAAATAAGGAAATATTCTTAAATTTTGTTTCGACTCGTTGTGAATTCACACGAGAATATATTCGGTCTGTAGTAGTTACGTTTTATCTATATTACAGTAAATCGCGTTCACTTATATGAAATTGTTACTGCCTAGTTTAAACTGAATTACGCTGCGAATTTTTCACCATGCCGATGCTCCGTAACAAAATTGCTTGAAACTCGCTGGTAAATTAGTTTTCAAAATATATTGCATTTTGAAAAAGCAACTATCGCTGCATTGTCAATTTTTCGCAGAAATGATCATCGTCTTTTATAAATGTTCGTTAGACGTTATGCCTTCGAGGCAATCTTGAGGGTTATTTACATCTCTTATCAGAGGTTACAGGTTTGGGCTAATATTTCGAGAAATATTTCAAGTAAATTCTAATAGCGTGCAGATGAGATGCTCACAGTACATTGTCAGAGGCCGAGTATACGGTACATTAACCACGTCGTTTTAATTATGATTAAGGTTAACGATTGCATACATTGTTGTTTATATTAACAGTTTAATGAAAACGCCTCGTTGCATAAAAAGGAGTTCGTTCTCTCTGTATTGGACTATCGAGATGCTTTGTATTATTTTGTATTGCAATATAAAATTCATAAGGGAGGCTAATGAATTTAGCATAAGGGAAGCTCCATGAATGTTTCAGACTTCAAATTAGTATTTTATTAATAGTAAGTGCAATAGACCCTGGGGATATGGTATCTTCGATGAGAATGCAAATTAGATGAGTTGAATTTGTTTTTCGAATAGGTCAACCCTTTTCAACCCTTTCATTACCATGAACGAATATCTCCCTAACATGGTTCTCGACTCCCCAGTACTATAAACTCATAGACGAAAAATCTCGGTCTAGTCCATGGCGAAGGAATTAATATCATTCAGGAAATAAATATAGAGAAAGATACATAATTCTCATGTGAAATCGTTCGTAGATAACCTCGATGTAACAACAAGATCAATATTGCCAACAACCGGGATGGCAAACCGAGGCCGCTATCATAATTAATGAATGAATTATAATTATGGGAAGAAAACTAATAAAGTCGTTAAGACATCGTCGACCTTAAATTATCATTTACGAGATTATTCTTCGTTACGCTTCGTCAACCGATGAAGTGAGAGTATTAAAGGACTCCAAGATTTTTCTTTTGATCCTGAATGTTGTTTGAACTTTTACGGTTAATTCTGCGAAATGCTATTAACAGATTTAATGAATTACCAGTGTTAAGTATTATTTGTTGAGACATTTTGAAATGTTAATTTCTTCTCGCTTGACATTCTGTGAAACATAATGGTACATAGTTGTTAAGAAAATTCATCGTTGAAGCCGATATTTATATTGCCATGTCAGCCACACGTTGAGATCTCGATATAACAGAGCGAAATGGCCAATAAATAGTCACTATACGTTTGTAAACAAGAGACAGCGCGGTCCGGCGTTTCGCTCTCTCCTTCTCTCTCTCTCTCTCTCTCTCTCTCTCTCTCTCTCCTTCTCTCTATTCTCATACTTTCTCTCTCTTTCACCGTTGACCTTTGACAAGTGTTTTGCATTTGCAACAAATACTATTTTCCAAGTTTGTGTTTTCGTAAATCTTTGCGAGACAAAAGTGACGTTTCATTGAATCGACTTTTGTAAATTGGTCGCATTGTGTCGAGGCTACTCATCTCGTTACTCTTGCGAAGTGGAGCAACCAGGAAATGAGACGGGGTATTACTGTCACTTATAAGTAATAACTTCCAAGTATGAACAACATCTAACGTGTCTTCTTTTGTACTAGCTGTTGCGTTTAAATGGATTTTCTGTTAAGAAAACAAACCATAACTGCAGGGAAAAAAGTTCCAATTACGAAGATATCACGTTTATATCATTGATTATTCATGATTTTCTTTTATTATTAACGTGTAGTTCTTTCTGTAGTATGATGTAGCCACGTTTCTGTCTTCATTTTTTCTTATGAGTGCTGGTCGTTCAACTTGCAGCAGATGGCTCGAATCGAAACTTTGCGGCCATGTCACTGTCAAAAATATAACAGTACACATTCATGTAACGAGAAACACGAAAGAGTCGCAGCTGCTAGGCTGCCATTCGATTTCATTGCTTACGGAAAGTGGAGTAACTGTGTCATAAGATGGGAATGCGATAAGTGATAATAGCCGTTTAAGATCAGACGTCCTGTCTCCGGTCTCCGTTATGTCTTTCTTTCATACACATTAAGGAAACTAAATTCACCACGTTTAATTGTTACTCTCTTGATAACATTCGCAAAACTAGAGCTAGGATGAATTTTTAATGAAAATATTCTTGGCATCACCCTTTCTTAAGATTTGGGATTTTATTTTTCAAAAGAACACATTTTCCAGACGAACACACACACAAAAGCAGTATAATATAATAACATGTGGATTATTTTCAGTACACTGTAGTCACCGTGTTCTACGAAAAGCTCTCCTCGTCATTCTTACGCACATTTATAAATGTCGTAGAGTTTTGAGAAATCTTTCGTACATCTCCTGTAAATATAGTTCTTTATTAAATTTCGGGAATTATGAAAAATTGGCTACGATAAGTGTCGAAGAGTGTAGATCGATTGTGTATTTTTCTAAAAGCTTCGTCAAAGTTTCATTATATGAAGGAACTATGAGTACAAATAATTAGTTGATTGTAAACATCGGTGCTTAAAAATTCAACAGAAAATTCAATCTATGTGATTAATGGAAAGTGAAAGGGAGAGTTATTTACGATCTATACAATCGGCTAATCGGCGAATTTCTTCGTATAAACATGTCGGGATCGACTTCACGAGATTCGATCCAAATTTCACAATCGTCAAGGCTACGCGACCTCTCATACTTAGTGAGATTCTGCCCGCGTAGACAGTATTTCGCGTTAAAATTAGATAAGAAGTTCCTATAGTTCATTCAGAAAGTTGAAGTGAGAAGATAAACCAGTAGTCTAAAGCAACATGTATTTTTAGAGGGTTAGCAATAACGAAGCAACAGCTGACCATTTTATTTTATCGAATCGACGATAGACTTTTTGAATATTAATCGTATTGTCTCGTTCTTTCTTGTTTTCCCTATAAATCTATTGCGTACGTTTGTTGTGATTTTTTTCGAAATTACCACGTTATTTATATTTGAAGCGAGTTCCTATATAACAAATACGTTACGCATAAAACTCAGAATTCGAAAATAGTAAGCTATTTTTGAATATTTTTTCTCTTCGGATTGTATCTTTTATTTTTCCTTCTGTTCTTGTTTTTCCTTTCTAAATACATCTCGGATAAATTTCATTTTTTTTTTTCCAAGAATATTTCTCAGTGCGCGACTGGAGATTGTAGATAATTTTGCTTCAAATACTCCTTGATTATATCTCTGATATAAGCAAAAAATTATCATAAAATTCTGTCCCTGCTCTGCAAGTACTTTTCTCATCAGATTAAATCGTTTCTTTTTTATCCATCTGTTTTTAGTAAAGTCAACACAGGAGATCGATTACAGGAGAACGACTATAAAGATATGGATTTAGCGGCATTTAAGAAAAATCTCGTTATCCTGTTCGTTCAAGACATGGCTGATAATGTTAGATTCTCGAGAGAATGATAATGTTAGATTCACGAATATTTGTTTACTTGATTAACCTTCACCCTTATCGTCTGAACTTTTCTAGACTTTTTTTCTTATTTACGACTGGAGAAATACGAAAGAAATTTAGTCAGACAAAACGCCTTTTTATTGTTTTCTATTTATTTTATTCTCCTATATTTAACTTCTTATATTATGTTTAAAGACGAGAAAATGATGAGACGTGATAAAATACAATAAACAACTTTTAATTATGAATTTCGCGATACTAAAAAGATCTCTGTAGTTATTGAGAAGAATATAAAAAATCAATATCTCTTAAGAACCAGACATAATGAGCCTCGATGAAACTTCCGTAAATCTTTTCTTTTCTTTTTGTTTTACAGTGTTTTATGAATTAAGAAGAGTAATCAATTTCTTGTCAAATTAATAATTTTCACTCTGCAAATATTGGAGATGTAATTTAATTTCCATTAGTAATCATCTTTCAATATTCCATTTTCTTTTATCCTTTTTGAATTTCCTTCGTCATGACAGTTAATTATTTTAAAATGGGAACTAATACATAAATAATCGCATCAGATAAAATTCCGCTCTCTTTCTGAACATTTATCTCATTTCATTCATAATCAGTGAAAAGAAAAAGTTCCTTCCATTTAATGTTCGTGATCTCAAATGGTTGGTAGTGTGGAGCGTCATATAAAGTCTTTTAGTACATATTCTTAAGTTTTCAATGAAATTTCAGGTTGAAAGTTTATTATTAAATTTTCTGGTCTCTGTAACGGAAGAAACGCCACTAGTTCATGGTATATGATAACATGAACTGAAGTTTGACGATATTTTGAGCACGGTGTGTGTATAAAACAGCAAAACGTTTTGAACACAAAATAAGAACGATGGTCGTCAGTTCCTTCTAAAGTGAGAAACTCAAGATGTGATTAACATTTTACTTGATAAGAATTTTATTGAAATTCTTCGTGAAATGTGTGGTTTTGTTAGTTATAATGAAACGTGACGAGAATAATTTTTAAGTGCAAGCATAATATCCGCAGTGACATGAATTGCTTTTGAAAATCTTTCTATTGTTCCATTATGAGGATCCGAACTTTGTTACCGAAACTTTTCTCTTTTTTAAAAAATCTTGTTAGGGATGGATCCGAAACTTTTATATTCTCTTTATGTTCTTTAATATTCTTGAAACTCAAATCTGAAACTTTGTAAGCTTTCAGAACACTCAAAATTTTCGAGACTCGAAACTCTCGAAACTTGAAGTGCTAATTTTATTTCATAAGAGGAATTTTTCTTTAAGAACTGGAGTTAACACTTTTATTTTATTTTCTGTTCAACACAGTTAAACAGAATTTAAATCAAAACATACAAAAATATTTAATCCAAATTCTTATTTATGAACACTAACAACCAAATTCTTTTTGGACCTAATCTACTTCCTTTAATTATTATATATAATATATAAAAATATATTATATATAATATATTTTTAATATACAATTTCCTTTGAAAAGATACAGTTGATGGTGATATAATAAGATATATATATATATTTTTTCTTTTTATAATTTTTTTAAATATGGAATGATAATATCTTATATTGAGATATCTTACATTATCATTCCATAATTACACTCGATTATTACATCTACTTATATTCTCAGAATTAAAACCCACATTCACAAATGCGAATCAGACATTCTTCATTCACGCTGAAAATGATTCTTTATTCATTCACACTTTTTCTAATCTGAATTTCAAAAGTTATGAAAAAATACGAATTTTCGAATTCTCAAAACTCGAAACTTTTAGGTTTCGAGGAATTTTAAGATTTCGACGTTTTCAATAATCCATCTCTATATATAAATTTCACTATATCGATTCAAGTTCTATTAATTCTTTTACATGTTCTGGGAATGATTGTTGAAACTTAGATAGTATCTCTTATCACTTTAATCAAAGATACTCGGATTCATAGTGATATTCTAGCAGATTACAAATATAAGGGACTGACAAATCGGTTAAAGATATACTAATTGTAATTATGTATGTACTGACGAATCTAGTGACAAAACATAGCCAGACTTTGATTGTTCGAACAAATTATCTTATTTGTTAATCGTTAAATATAAACAAGTGCTACTTGAACCAGAGCGATACTTTACTTTGCTGAATATAAAAGGCTGTTAACTGTCGTCAAACTTTAATTATATCCAAAGATACGAGTTACGGTTTGTCGAAATCATAACAAATCAGTGGTAGGCTTTTACGTTCGTTCGTTAAATATATAGTTGTTCAAGACATTTTCTGTTTCACATTTCCTTCTGTTTTCGTCGTATATTATTTTATCTAAAAATGGATGCAATGTATTCCTTTGTGAAAGCTTTTGCTTCTGACAAGAATCATCAGTTTCTTACTCGACACAAGAATATCAATCTTGCGCATTTGTCCAACTCAAAGACAAACTTTCGATCGTTCATTCATTATAAATATAAAGATTATTTTCTATCAAGATTACGCATATTAAAACTATCTGAAAAGATTTTTTGCAAATGGATTGTTATCACAAAAAAAGAAAAGAAACAAATTCTGCTAAAAGAAAATATAAATCCTGCATTCATTCTCGTCATGCCAACGTTAACCTTTTTTCAGCGGTATTAGATTCCCCGAATAAGATCGATTGACGCTAGAATTTCAGTCGTAAATCGCAAATTTAGAAACATTACGGTTATGTACGTTTCGATGTGAGGCCGCCTATGTCGCGTTTTATTCTCCCTGCCAGTACATTATCCAAACGATTCCCTTCGGTCTGGCCGGCATTACAACTACTACAAAATGTATCTCGTAAAAATTTTTTGATTCTCCCGTTTATCTTGCGTTACGGTGACATATACGACCATCATCTTTTTTGCAAAATACGAAATTTTTTTACATGTCACTTCTTAAATCTCTATATCTCTCCTGTATCTTCATAAATTTCATCGAGGTCTAAACTTTAACAAAATGGTCAAATGCGAAATGTCGGATCAAAGATCGAATAATTTTCTATTGTAAGTTGTGGGTTTGCTGGACGACAGCGGCCAACGCTGGCACATTCAAAGTCATACTATCTAATGTCGTACTATCAACATCTAATGAACGTCCGTATGCGTCGTTATGCATATTGATATAATGAATACCTCGCTGTTTTAGTGTTTCACTGATTGGATAATTTAGTGTAATATAGTGAATTTGACGGCCAGTCCGAAATATACCAATGTTACTTTGATTCATGCCGACCGAAGCTACGTACGCGTCATTGTCACAGTATTCCCGTTAATTATTGCGCAATCACGTCAATTAAATTCGCTATTAGACTGTCACAAAATCGCTGAAGTGAGAATACTTAATTTTTGTAAAGATGTAAAATCAATCATTTAATCGATTAATTACTAAATAAATTGATTAAATATATATATTAATATAAATAATTTTTCTTTGCATATTATGATGGCTACGAACATTTTAACAATATCTAGAGGATTGTGTATTGTGTATATTGTGTAATTTCTTGGTTACGTTTAAAAATAGATATTTTATTTTCAACTTATTTAAAATATGAATAAAATAAGACACAAACGGGAGAAGCAAATGATAGCATAGACGTGCACATTCTGGCTGAATTGTGTCGTATTAGCCTGTATTTAGTCTAGAAGTGTATCTGCATATCGTGAAACATAATTGCTTGAGCCTCATCGTGAGTAACAATCGTCACTATCGTGCGCGAGGACGAACCATAGGAATATATCATACATAAAAGGAATTAGAGTCGTAAATCATCACTTGTCCACGATCACGCGCGTGTCGGAGATTTTTGTTAGATGCTATAGCGCCCTCTCCCTTTCATCGATTTTTAGAATGCATACAATAGCGTTTTCCCCTGACGCTCCGTGTTTCAAGATTCACGGAATTCTATTCACTTTAAGGGACGATTAAAGTTCGTCAGACGGAAACTCTTGCTATTAATCTTAAACAATATAGAATAAGTTAGATCGTTTTGGTCCATTTGAACAAGATCGTACATTAAACGGATATTGTTATACGCGAAAGCTTTTGGAAACTGTTTCGTATAAGCACTTAAAGAAGATCCATCCGTTTTTATTGTAACTGCTGAAACGTCGTAATATCTTTATCAAATATTTGATAACTGCCTCGTCTATAAACTTTGTTAATCAAAATCGCGAATACTTCAGACGTTTCATTCTTTATCCATATTACGGATAACGTCTTCTTACAAAACGAATTATCCATCGTTGATCCTTCGAAAAGAATTAAATCCACGTTCTTCATCCGTGCAAATGATCACAACTTCAGTTCGTAGCTCTAATTTCTTTTGACGTGTAGCACGATTCCCCTGACGATCGACGGACATATAAAGGATCTGAAATCGTTTGCTCGAAAAGTCGATTACGATTCTATCGTCGAGTTCTTCTCTTTGTCTCTTGAGAAAAACTGGGAAGGCCAACCTAGTAGATCGTTTTTGTTCTCTTGTCCCTTACTGGAATATCATAGTGCCGAGGCAGTTCTCTTCCAATCGTTTCGCGTTTACACAATTGAATTGCTCTTGAGGGCGCGATCTTTTTCTCGTATTACTTTCGTCCGAGATCATCGAAGAATGATTCCTGTTCGCGAAGTCGAGATAATCGAGTTTCTCCCTCCGCGACTACTATTTGCTATAAAGATCATGCTACCGAATTCCTTTCACCATTTTCCCTTTGGATCCTGTGATTTCACTTTAGGCGAATTCGTTTTTCGTTTATCGAACTATTCCATATGGTAATCACAGGTTCACTGAAATTCCATGAAACGTGAGAAAATCAGACATAAGTATCTCTTTTACGGTATTGGTCGTTGAAACAAAAGCAAGGAGAAAGTGTTGAAATGTAATTTCGTTTTTTGCAAACTAACTAAAACTCTGTGTCACATGATGTCAATTTACATTTGTCTCGTCATTTCGTTGAAACTAATTTTGCTCCACCGTTGCTCAATTTTTTTTCCATTAATTACAAATCCAGATTTTTTATTTTGATCCAATTAAATTTGTAAAACTGTAATTAAAGTATTGATGTTCGTGTTTTTTTTAATAATTTCATAACTGATGGCAACGCTCGATTACTTTCTTCTTCATGACTGTAAAAAATTTTCTGATAATAATAGCGATGTCACTCGAAGCATCGTGTTTATAAGTTCCCCATTTAAAATTATAGCAACGAGCCGTGAAATTTAGTTAATGAGATTTTCGCTTCGTGGGTAAATAGACACTTTCGGTAGGATTAACCGAGGTTTCATTCGCTATGATGGCATAATTTTCCCAAATTCGAACGAATGAATGGAGAAACGATTTTCAGCGAATAACTGTAGGAAAGAATGATTGTACAGAATAGTATCGAAAAATGTCGACCTTTATAATTGATTTCTATTATCTGATGCTGATGGGATCTGATCTTGATAACGAGAAGAAATACCATTGAGAGAACAAAAAGACTCGGCTGGATCCATAACTAAGAAAAACATTTTTCCGTGTCAAAAGCTTGTTAAGAAGTTCAAGCTTTGACACTTTGATATTTGATATGTAATCCCGAAGCGAAGAGAATAAATGAAGATTATTAAACATGATGTGAGCATAAAAAAGCGAATAATGTTGAACATAATATCAGTCATGCTTTAAGATGAATTAGGGAATTCTGAAAATAAGAAAAGCGGCCATAATATCGAGACGATTTAACATTATACTTTTGTTTAAGAATTTTTATCGCACCTTTACGCCAGAAAATATTTTTCTTGATGTCCCGTAATACATTGCTTCGTCGTTCCACTTGGAGCAATATTTTCAAACACAGGGTTACACTTTTTAAACTTTGCAAGATTTTTCAAGCGCTGTTTCACTGATGATTCAAGAGATCCTCAAACAAACTTTGAAACTTTCGTCGAAAATCGAAGGACTGACACTTGGCATTCGACTATCGCTTTTTCGCTGCGATGCAGTTTTTGATCACGTTTACACTTTATGTTTAAATCATTCGTTCAAACGTCATGACGTTTCTGTCAATCTATTGGCACCTGGAACCGGACGAAAAGTCTCGTTTTAAAATTATCGTTGTACGTTCCTCGGTGTTACTTGGCTCTGGATTCTCGTTCAGAATTTCACCCGAGTGTCGCGGTTTCGTTTGTTTTCTTCCTTTTAAACAGACAGGTCACGCGAACTCGATGAAAATTTCCTTAAAATCGCCGCCGTGTTATTTTTAAATTTATAATCTGCAATGCTTCCGCGAACATTTTCGGTTCTCCAATCGAAAGTAGTAAAGTCAACACGCGGTTTCGGAGCGCTTGCAGCGCACTGAGTGCTCCGCCAAGAGAATGGCGCGAGCACAAGAGCATTCGCGAAGGAGCGACGAGTGACCCTGGCAGTGGATGCCGCCTGCGCGGTTTCTCTTCTCTCTCTCTCTTTCTCTATCTATCTGTCTATCTCTATCTCTATCTCTATCCCTCCTCCCTCTGTATCCCTACCAATTATACATCAATCTGTCTCTATTCCTCCCTCATTCTCATCGCAGATTTTCATCTTTTCTTATTTTTTGCCCCTTCCTCTTGTTTTTGCCGTTTCTTTCTTACGTTGCTTCATTTTTACGTGTCGTTTCCACCCTTCTGCCATTCTTTATTTTCCCCGTTTTTCTTCTTTTATCTCTTTTTACGATCCCGCTATCTCGCTACCTCTTTCTTCTATCAGTTTCGTACAATCCCCTTATCTCGATCCTTTCGCTCTCTCAGACCTCCCAGCTTTTAGTTCTCAGTTCCTTGCAACCCCTTCAATCGGCCGTGCATTTCTCTCCATCTCTCCCCTCCCCTTTACTTCAATTCGTCTCGTTCTTGTTCAATGCTTATCCTTCCTTATCTTCACTTTCATTCATAGCGCAACGCGGCGCCGAAAGCGATTCAAGAGATCGATTTATGTAAGTACGCTTGGTACTTGGACCAACCGACCAGCATTGATGTTTCGATTATTCGTTCTACTTCTCTTTATTGCATGTTTCGTCTGGCAGCTATGGAAAAAATATGATAATTTAAATCTCGAATATCAGGATTATTTTTTCACTTTGTCGCTTAAAATCTGGTTAATAATTGATACGACAGATATAATTCCCTCTTTACATTTTTCATCATTTGATATCCTGTTTCTTCAGAAGCGTAAACATTTTCTACATCACAAACATTGATTTTTGATCAAGCAATTTGCATATTAATCTAGGCAGTGTTGCACTTGGAAAATACGAGCAAAGATCAACAATCGGAGATTTCTGGAGCGACCAGCATTCTACCGTGTAACCGAGCAGATTAATTAGTATTACGGGCAATCACGATCACTGGATCAACTTGTTTCGTACTTGGAATTTGGGCATCAGTTCCGGCAACGTAAGCAATCTTTTCAGAATGATGTAACGTAGCTTAACGTCGAGCGTTGATCTCAAACGAAGAAATCGGAAATTAGAAATTGTATTCGGAAACTTTGAGCAGTGTCCTGATTTATGACACGACTAGGAACTCACATTATTTCTGAAAAAAAAATTATATATATATATATATATATATAAAATTATAATATAAATATAAATATAAATATAAATATAATTATAATATAAATATAGATATAAATATAAATATAGATATAAATATAAATATAAATATAAATATAAATATAAATATAATATAAATATAGATATAAATATAAATATAAATATAAATATAAATATAAATATAAATATAAATATAATTATAATATAAATATAAATATAAATATAAATATAAATATAAATATAATTATAATTATAATATAAATATAAATATAAATATAAATATAATTATATTCGTATTATATGGGATATGTGGTATCTCAGAGAAAGTTTCCGAAAATATTTAAACAAAACGCGCTTTGCGCGAATTTGACAAGAGATGTCAACAATTTATCCGTCACTTTGGAATTGAAGAACTTCCAAGCCGATGGAAAAGAAAACGAAATTTTCTTCCAATTTTTCATTGGCTTAAAGCAAGCAGAAATCGTCTAACTCGTCTGACGTTCGAAGAAACAGTTCATTTTTCAAGAGAAATTGTCTGACTCAAGGAATTACATATCATTCGCAAAGTCAGAAAAGTCGATTTTTCAAAAATTGTATATTCTGTTATTACGATTCTTCTAGAACATATCAGAAAATAATTAACATAGACGTTTTTATCCTTCTGTTAACATCTAATGGTAATGCGTGACTCAAACTTTAAAAAGCGTTTTTCTCGGGATGAAATTTTCAAAATCGATATTAGAAATATCCGAAAGACTACTGAATTTGAATAAAAATTTGTTATCTAGTATTTAATAAAATGAAATTTATTAGCAAAAGAGTTGAAAATTCACAGTTATCGTTTTCTGAAAAATTGATATAAATCGGCTCTTGTACAATTTAATGTAAAATTAAAAAAATTTGATTTAGATGAAAACCACGAGGAGATATACATATGTACGTGGTATCGTATATTTAATTCAAATTCAATATTTAGCAATCATTAATTAAATAACATACAATAAAATACATATTTTTCCAATAAAACATAATTTTTTTCTTCAAAAAAGTTTTTTAATTTTTCTTACATTACAACGATTCAAAGATATGTAATTCTTTAACCAATAGTTCATTTTCCGATAGAACTCACAATCGTCTGATTGTGAGTTCTCTTAATAATCGGAAAGAGTTGTAGCATTAAATAAAAGAGATTATCTCTTTATAATAAACACGCAACAAACTATTCAGTCTATCTTTGTTATAAATTCACGAATTTCATACATCGTTGTAATAAATCAGCGCATCACGTGTGACTAAACTTCATTTCAGACAAATTTTCTTGAATTTGTCAGAGATCTCAAATATATTCCAAAACGATTCATAACTTTTTTGTCTTTTGAGAGATGGTCAACGATCGTTTGTTTCGGAAAGAATCTACTATATCTCGTTCGATGGATAATAATTGTATTTTCGATGACAGAAGAGAAGAGTTGGATGTCGATCTCCACTGTTGTTGCTTAATATTAATGCTCAAATAACTACAAGAATAGCCAGAAATCGCTCTTTGAAAAATTTCCTTTCCTACAAAATTTAATCCATGGTCCTTTAATCCATTCTTTCATAGAAAAATTATCTTGTGAAAAAATCTTGAAAATTCTCTAAGTGGTAGATATTTGAAAACGAAAGTTCTTTTTACGTTGATAAGAGGAGATTTTTCCGGATAAAACGAATGATCTACAGGAACGATTTGGAGATCGCGACGAGAATAAAATGGATAAGTGAATTTCGCTTTATCTAGCAACGGTGAGAATAAGAACAAGCGCTACGAGGAATATCGTTCATCGATTGGAGCCATGTTATCTTCGATATTTACGCTGCACTCGTACCTTGCGTTTATCGCGTGCATTACACGGACGCAGAGATCAGGATGAGTTTGTTGCTGCACGAGTTGCCGTATTCACGCAACCCGAATCAAAGTCTGGATTAATTGATTTCTCCCTGGAAACTTCAGTTGAAGAAGAAAATTTATTTCAATCAGAGAAGTAGAGAAAGTGAGAAAGAATGTATTGTAAGGAAAAATATCGTATATTATAATCAAAAAATTTACGTTTATGCATTAATTGAATTGTAGTGTATCTTACAACGAAAAAAATGCATGAAAACAAATTTTATAGATTCTTACTGCTGATGAGAAAAAAAATTCATTAAAAATGACAATATCTTCGAAAGTGAAGGCATGTGACATGTTGTACAATTACAGAATATAACATATAACAAGGTGTTACATTTAAGTGAAAATGATGAAATATCATGGAGTTCGTATTATCAAAAAAATGTTTTTACAAAAATTGATAAGGAGTGAAGGGGGATTATTTGAAATAGATATTTTTTGCGTTAGTAAAATAGAGGCAGAGATTTCAAGGTCAAGAAGTTTCAAGGTTAGTTTATATTTTTAAGGTCAAGAAGTTTTTATATTTTTTTATTCGAAATATGATGATGTTTGAGATGAATGATACCATTCAATGACTCTATTGAATGGTATCATTCTAAGAAACAGAATCGTAATATAGTCAGAGAATTATATTCTAAGTAACATAAGAAAGACTGATGAAATACTGATGGATGCGACGTACGGTTTTAATTGAAGTTATTTCACTGGTAGAATAACCAAATCATATGCCAAATCAATTATTTTTAATTTGATTTGTATCGAAATGTTGTCTCCTCCGTGTCTCATGTTTTCAGTTTAATTTGTCCCTTCGTATCAAATTGATAAAAAACTTGGTAAATAATGAAAAGATAAATAGTTAAATTCTTTTATTAACAGTAAATAAATTAGATCGCGTATAAACAGATATTTAATTTTATAAATTTTATAAATTCAATTTTATATTTTACATATTTTATACACATTTTATAAGAAAAATGTGTCAAATTAATAAAAGATGCGAAAGTTAAATTACAATATAATTAAAATTATTAAAATTTGTACAAGAAATCGTTGTATTTCGTCTAATTGTAATCGTCTGAATAAATGTCATCATGTCATGAATAAAAAAAAAACATAGGGTTCCCTTTAAAAAAATTTATTTGACTTTCAAATCTCTGTTGTTATTTTAGCAACGCAAAAGATATCTACGCCAAATAATATCCCCCTTTGTATCAAACAACTTTTGTAAGAACTTCAGATATGAAATTTTTGTAACATATTCCACTATTTTTATTTATATTTATATATATTTTATATTATATATTTTTATTTACATTTATATTTTATATTATATATTTTTACTTACATTTATTTTTTTATTTATATTTATATATTTTTACTTACATATATTTTTTTATTTATATTTATATATTTTTACTTACGTTTATTTATATTTATATATTTTTAATAACGTAACGCCCTATATTTAATTGAACAATTGAACAATTGAACAATTGAACATGTACGTTATTCAAGATGTCCATTTCGGTTTTTCATTTCTCACGGCGTTTTAAATTTTGGACTATAGTACTCTATTATTATCATTCAAGATGGTCTTCCGTAGATGTCGGATATCTGTCACAAGGAACGCATGATTTAAGATCTTTCAGCTTACTTCTAACTTACATCTCCGCTATATTTACATCCCCATCTAAGTCGTTTAAAGGACAGCGTTCATATCGTCAAGTGTTGTTAAAATAATGTTTCGCATCCGTTGTCGTCGTTCGACCATCTTTGGGTTGCACGTAAAATCTTCTCGGACCGAGGATCATACGATCCAATTACCGGAATGAAACGCGTCACGTATTTTTAGACGGCTCTCTAGACGATACAAACTCG